AATTATACGTAAAATGGATAAGTTTTATAGTGGTGTAACTTAATATTGTTATAATCACAAACCTATTATAAAGAATTTGATACAAGAATACATTGGCTTATTATGGTCCTGCAAAAGTTGTTATAATCTCAACAAAACTATTTTAATTCTGATAAATCTTTTTCCTTGCCGAAGTGCTATTAACTTCTGTTATCAAATGGATCTGTATAAATAGAAACGGCTAAAAAGAAGTGGTTCATACAAACGAAAAAATCCGAAAACCTATGAACAAATAATTCAGGTGTCCGGTTTTAACTTTGTCTGGCGAAGAAAGTATCGTAGAAATAGGAAATAGTTCCGTACAAAACAATTCTTGTGATAGTTTGAGACAGAACGTTTATATTAATAACTCGTATTTCAATATCGTTTATATCAATTCATCCCTTGAATTATCAAGTGAGGAATCTGTCAAAAGATGAAAGCGATATGGAAGACTATTCTTCTCGTAATTTTGAACTACATAATGATTTTAGAAAATGGGCTGTTTTTCTAAAATCCCAAAAAAGGTGTAGACCCAACCAAGAACATTATATTGAAATACGTAGTAATGCTATTGTACAAGCACAAGATGCATTCGATCAATTAATAAAATCATTGTTTCTTAATATATATCAATGCAATTTTAATGAAATCAACAACAATAGAAAGGAAAAGGTCTTTAAAATTTCAAACATAAAATATAAGCTTGCGAGTATTCTGTATGGTTCAAATATATCAAAATTTACCAGTTCAAATATACCAGAATTATATAAATATTTGAACAACAATTTTTGATAATAATTGACTGATTGGTTAATTCTATTAGTAGTTAAAAATAATTCCATTAGTAGTTGTAAATAGGTCAGAAGTTAACAAAAATAAACAAAATATTGATTTTTGCTAATGAATTTTTATTCAAGGTAAATTCAAAATTTTCCCTCTTACGTCAGATTTGCTACCTTACTTTGACACAATAATTTATTCCCAAGGCCACCTTGATGTTTTCAAAGCTCGAAATGGCTTTTAGTCAAAAAGCGATCGCTGTTCAAAAACACTACCTTGCTAAATGTTTATATCTAAACAAAAATATTAAAAGAATCATGCCAGTTATAAAAATATTTGTTGAACCCTGATTCCAAAAAAAATATGGCCAAGCAACGGTTCTAATGTCTGCCCTTTTTAGGCAAAGTACGCCTAAAATGGTTTTTTAATGTATTTGGAAAAACCATCTGTCAAGATGGCGACTTTTCGTTGTATGGTCTTACTGAAACCGACATAATTTCGAAATCTAACTTATTAAAAACGCTTCTTCTGAGAGGCGCGTAAAAATTTTAATAGAAAACTTGTTATACTTCACCGAAAATATACATGCGCAAGCCATTACTTATTGTTAAGTAACTCTTTACTTATAATTAATATTTTGGATATTATTTAAAATTAGAAATGGATGAAAAGTTACCACTATCAATATAAATATGTGCAGCAACATTTGCCAATTCACAACACTTTGAATGGTTCTGTAAGAGATTTTTTACTGCCGTATTTGGTTCCATTAAGCGCTGATAGTTAACTTCGCAGGAGCAAATAGTTCTACGTAGACTAACTATAGGGTCGTTACTGAACAAAGTAGTGTTCACCAAGTCCATTATAGATATTGAATTAGAGCAAATACGCCTGTAAATTGGGCCCTTTTCCGTGGTTATAATTGCTTACTATTCCATTATAGTCCTGATGAAATTGTGGTTCCAGAACGATTACTAGACCACATTTTGCTGCTTGGGGCTGGTCGCCTTTGAGAAAGTTGCTAAACTTCCGCAATCCAACCAGACGCGCTAACTGCTACGCCGTCGAGCCCTACCGGGTAACAGACCATAAATCCCTTGTGATTTTAATAAGTATATTTTTTGACAATGTTAAACGTTTCGTACCCTTTTCAAGCTCTCACTTTACAAGGCTAAGTGGCGAGCACGAAGCTTCAATTCGAAAAGATCCGAAAGATTAACTGTTAGTTGCACAAACATCCATTAAGGTTTAATGACTTTTTGTTTTATAAATGACTAGCTGTTTTCCCGCGACTTCGCCGGCTTAAATTATAGTCTATATCGTCCGTGTATGATGTAGCTTTTCATAGGTGAAAGAATTTTTATGATCGGATCAGTATTTCCGAAGATTATCCCCAAAAAAAGTTGGAAACTTTACCTCTTTATAATATTAGAATTAATTCTTTAAGTATTAGAATAGACATGGGCATGGCAGCTTTTCTATACCATATAGATTATTACGCGCGATAAGACATATAAAAAAAAATAAAGCGTATTCCGTTAAGTATGAAGAATTTAATTCTTAATATCATATATTTGATATGTTTTGGCAATTATGAAAAGGAAGGTCATAGTCATACCCAACGGAAACCAGATAGTGTTGTCGCAGCCGCATCACGACCTTTGCCAAGGTTTTTATACGTAAAACCAGTCCAATTCCGAAAATTATTAACGAAGTACAATTATTGTTATATATAAAAAACATTTTAATATTATTGTGCTTAAAAAAGCAATAGAAATGGATCCTGTGTATGTATTAAAAATACACAAGCTTTTAGTTAAATACGTCGATTTTATTATACTAATTATAAATTTGAATTTTATTATAGGTACTATGGAATTAGCACGACACACGTAGCTTAAAATCACAACGTGGCTTCTAGGATATGCACTTCCTTTGTTACATATTTTGTTACTCGTATGTATAAGTGTTTACATTGATGACTCGTCTGTTCTAAAATGTAAACCAAGATAATAACAGGATACCAAATTGCCAACAATGCATATTGATATAAGAGTAATACCGATGTTTTCTATTTCTCAAAATTCCAAGTACACACGACTGCATGTATATTAGTACTTATATACTTATAGTACTTATAGCTTGTTTTCCCGCGACATTTTCCGCTTAAATTATAGCCTACGTCAATCACGCATATCAATGTAGATGAAAAAAAGAATCGGTCCAGCAGTTTCGGCTGTTTGTTGCTAAGATACTATAACTCTTTATAATATTAATATAGGTAAAAGATCTTAACAAATAAAATACCTATCGGCAAAAAATATTATATATGATAATGTTACTAATTAACTAAATATTGTTCCTGTTATTTATTTCATACGTCTATTAATATTACGATAATACATATTCATTTACTACATTTATAATTTTGTCATGTTTATTAAAATGATATATTTTATCAGTGCCATGCGGAGTTTAATAAAAAAATAACAATATCAATACATTGCTCAGATTCCAAATTAAATACTAAAGCACTTTTTTTTATGGAAAAAGGAAACAACGAACGTAACACAGCACTCCAGATCCACGTCTACGTACAAAAGTTTATTTTTCTACACTGACTCGGCCGAGAATCAAACCTAGGATCGCAGAGATGGCGACACCTTAAAACCGGAACCTTGCTGAATGCCGATGATAATATATAATTCAGCTCTTGACCTTATCTACCGGTTTTACGTTTGGCACGTGTCGTTGCAAATACTGGAGCTAAAGAACTTAGCAACCTCTCGAGAAAAAAGGCAGAGTAAATGATACTTATGTGTAGTATACGAGCTTTTACCGCAATAGCAACCACTGTCAGCTTCGTGGTAAAAGTGGTAAAATAAAAGACTCCAATTATGTATATGTATCCAAGTATGTACGACAATTAGGTATCGTCACCGGGATGCTGATTTATTGGTGTATTTTATATTATCGTATACATTCTGGTGAACTGCATGACAGCTCCATTTTATCACCAAAGTAAAGAGTATTTACTCTAAATTCAAAAGTATCATAGCTTCGAGCGGTAGCATAAGGGGAAGTGCATCTTTGCATGATAGTTGTTTTTTTTATTTTGTTATCATCATTCTTAGCCTTCTCACATAAGTAAACTGAATTTTATTTTATTTTACAGTACACAGTTTTTGCTTTTATCCAGGCATTTAATACCTAAACTTTAGTCGTCTTTTTATAAAACAAGGATAATTTTTAGTACCAAGGTTAAACTTCTTCTTTTATTAATGGCTTATCTGCGCCCAGCTTCAACCATTATCCGACCAAAGTAAGTCAATATTTTGACGTTTTCTCTTCTGTCGTTGACAATTTGCTTTAGGCGGCCGAGAGTATAAAGCAAGTTACTAACTTTAGTCCTCCTTTTGTAATAAGACTGTATAAGCGAGCACAATCTCAAAATACACTACAAAGGAAATGGCAGATGTAGGCTGACCTAACACCTACTTATACTATTATTGTCGACATCTTGCACGAACATTTTGAGAGTTCTTTTTTCCATACAAACTGTTTTTTCATGCAAAAAGAATGGGCTGCGCTACCTGCTCATCTATTGTCTCATAGTAACAACAGCCATCTCCTCAAATCCTTAGTGAATACGAAAGTTTTGGAATCGCTTGTATGATTTTAAGACTCATCAAGTACGATCAGATGACCTACTCCGTTTCTCCGAAAACTAAATCTTTGGTTGATTTCGTATATTTTATAAAAGGGTCGAAGCTTCAATAAAAGAAAAATACAAACGCGATGTATTCGTGTATTTTAAAAACTCTTATACTACTATTTAAAACGTATATTTCTATTATTTTTGATGCTTCGGAAGTAGGATCTAGGACTGCTTTTGATGCGTAGATAATCTTCTCGGATATGACTTCAGCTAAATTTAAAAGGACATTGCGAAATTTTTAGAAAAACATGAGATAGGTCCTCAGGTTAGATGATGTCGAAATGCTAAGACTGTTCTCAATATTTTAAACATAATCAGATGGCACACATTATGTTATAAACCTAAAAGCACGAGCATTATTATTTACGTCTGTAAAAGGTCGTCCATAATTTACCTTCCCAGCAATAAGTATTTAAGTAGTACAAAAGTAAAAAAATAAAAAAAAAAACAAGGAAGTTCTGATGAAATCGTTTTTACTTACCATAATCTTTTCCCATGGTGATTTAGTACGTCGATTTATTATTAATAGTTCCTATTACACGCGATCAATTTCTGCCTGTGGATTTTTTAATAATCACTGATCTAACCACTAACACTGAACTGTTAATTATTTCAGACGAAATGCACCGTAAGAATACAGCCTTGTGAGGAAAGAACCTTATTATTTTGAATCATTTTATCACGCAGCACTTTAAATATTTACATCCGCGGACACGTTTTAGGAACGCGCTCCATTGTTTTCAAATCGAGTCGAGTAATACAAATAGTTTGCGATCGCCGAAAGTGAAAGTTTGTGTCAAGTTATGGCCGCCTAGTGTGACTGTCAGTTGCGACAAGCTTGCGACTCGAGGCACGGGCACTGACTGGCGATTGGCCTGCGACGCGACAATACAAAACGAACTGACTGACTCACGCACACAACTTACCTTGGACAATACAATACCTACGGAGTTGCTTTGTTCCTAACAAATAGATAGTTTAACTTATTTAGAGCATTAAGCTCAATTAAAGCAGTTTATGCTGCTCATCCGAGGATAAGGAATACATACAGTGTTATAGAAAGTCTATTTTTAGCACAAACTTTAATTGAATCTATTTCTGTTTGATTGTTCAATATTAGTACTTTAACCATGTTTCCTCGGTATGCTTGTTCTGAATTGTTGCACAACACACGATTTTCTTACTACCATCGGTCGTTGAAACTCTGTCGTCCAATTAACAGTGGCATTGTATAGTATTCTAAAACTGATTTTCTATGTAATTGTCTTACAATATATTTATAGTGATATAAGTTTGACTGTGTATTTGCAGGATCTAGTGCGCTTTTTGCTGTATTGTAATAAATAATAAATTGTGGTTCACAATAGTCCTACTTATGCCAATACATAGTTCAGATTTTAACAATACTCACTCACATATCGCAAGACATTCGAGTTTATTTATCACAAAAGAGGATATGCAAAATATCCCATTGCCAAGTGTCATTGTCCTTGGAAAACTGTTTTCATGGCTATCACTCTGCGGTGGCTAATCCCAAATATTTGGGAAGAGTTACAGTTAAAAGATAATACTTATGTACAGTAGTTAATAGTCAGTGTTCTTGAATTATTACAAGTTCATTTAAGCTAAATAGTTAGAGCATGGTTTTTTTTCATTAAAATACTGAAACTAATTAAGCTTATCGGGTAACTATAAATAAAATAATATTCCTACCCAGTGTGACGGAGTATGCATCGTAGATTATACATAAATTGGTCGGATTTACAGTGAATAAATGTAGAGATTTAAATCTACCACACATTATGTAGATTTCTTGGTTTTTAGACAGGTTTTCAACAGAGTATTTTTCATCGTTGAAATAGTGAAATTTGAATACTGAAAAAACTTAGTCTTTTAAGTTGTTGAAAAACGACTGCACTATTTACCTACATTTGTATAAGAAATGAAAGCTTGGAAAAAGTATTTCCTCAAATTCGATACCGAGTTCGAAATTTTGGTGTGGTTTCACTTTTCATATACACATTACACAGAATTTTTACCAATAATTAATTATCTAATAATTTTTATGTTTTTCTTTTTTTAATATTACATTTCTGGCCATTATTCCTTTTAGTTTATGCTCGTATTCTCAAAGATTTTATCTTGCTGTTGTTATTTTACCGAGTGTACTAACAATTTCTATATAGTAATTACTTTTTGTATTCCATATAATGACTAATTTAAGTATTCTGTAGATAAGTATCATCATTGTTAAAGTATTATTGTTATTCCATTTTAATTTTTTAATATTTTGTAACTAAGCTATCCAAATGAATATAGAGAACAGGTGTTATAAAATAGTAGTTTTCCTATTTTGCCCCGTTAATCTATTTTTTATTTCGCGTATGATATAACTTAGAATAAGTGAAAGAAAAGAATAAACTACTTAACGGAACCTTTTCAATGTAAATAAACGATCCACTCTTTCCTCTTTATAACGTTACTGCACTATGAAAAATACTCGGGACTGCAGTAACACCAAGTGAGCTTAATTATTTTTATTGAAAAATATAATAAATTCCTTGGCATTACGTAAAACAGTATCTCGATATAGATACAAATGTCACTGGATAGCACTGAAAATAGTTCTCATTATCTATTTTGGGATCTCTACGGGGTAGCTGTTTTATTTTCATATTATTTTTTCTATTGACCCGTTTGTTTTTCAATGCGAATGGCGATGGATAATATGGGCAATTTCAGTGGTTAGTTGATAAAATCAATGACCGATCAATGAAAATTTGTCACACAAACTGCTGCATCCAGGTCAATATAAATGAACCATAATGCTGTATCTCTGTCTATTTTAATTTTTGCAATGTTCAATTTTAGTGAAAACTAAACCTTTTGGGGTAAACGCCCCGACGGGGTGCCAAAGCCCGGACGAACACCGATCCACCCGATCCCTGTCTGGCTATTGACCTTCTTTGTTAAAATTATCATATGCACTTTTATGTATTTTGCTTTGGATGTTTCTTATATACCTAATAAAAAATACGTCAATATTCAAAGATCGTATGGAGATCCCCCATAATAAGCACCAGCTTCAGAATATAATAAGAATGTTCAATATCTGCCACTTAAGACTATAAAAAAATAAACAGACTTAAAAAAAACGTAATAAAGAGAAACGACAGAAGAGAGAAATACTACCTTAATTTTATTCTTCAATAAGATTGAAACACAAATTACGATTTATTGAAGACGATAAAAATTTTTTTTTTATTGTTTTTATCAATTAATTTTCTTTAAATTGTCTTTTTTAATAATAGGTGTTATCACCGATCCACATCACTTACTTCTAACTTATAATGAATGGACACCTTCGTCTGTGTTTAAACATATTTATATTTACCGGATAAACATTTTCTGTGATGGTAGCAGTTCCAACCTAACACTATTCTTGAAGCAATTCGTTTTAATTAATTATTTCACCTAACCTACTGTTTGGTAACAGTTCGTTTCTTAAGCCATTTAGTAAGTTTTCTCTTATGTTTTTCCCAAGTTGAAAAATAGTTAATCAAACAAAAAGTATTTTAATTTACGAGAAATAAATTGTCAAATATATAGACACACATACATACATATTATCAAAAATATTCAGTGTTAAGAAGCGCATATAAACTAACACATGAGTATTGCGCCCTATACCATATCAAAATTACATACATATAGGTCAAATTGATTACCTATTTCTTTTAAGGTCGATTATAAACGTAAAGGTCAAATTAAAAACCTCTTTTTTGTCTGTTAATGACGCACATACTCGGGTAAACTGATGGCCTCCTCTTTTGAAGTTGATTAAAAATAACGTCATCACTTTTAACTCCTTTTATAAGACGGTTAATATTTTACTCCTTTTATTTTAATAGGTTATACTGAACCGATTTTGATGTAAATTATAGAATACCCTAAGTTGAAAGCTAAGCAATCAAAAATCATTGCAATCCGACGTCTAATTTGTGAGGAAAATCTTCTTTGAATACTTAAAGCTAGACGTATACATATAGAAAAAATAACATTATGTGCCTGAATTAGGTGATCCTGTATGTCAGGCAACACGAGTTACGTAATTTAAATATAAACTATCTCAATGCATAAAAACAAAATAAAAAAACAAAAAAATTAACCTACTACTATTATTTTACAAGCGAAATAAAAGTTACTTTTTTACTAAAATACTACTAAACATGAATTTAAAACATTTATTTAAACATTATAATTATATGCAATCGGGTCTTGTTCGTGCATTTTTTAAAACAATTAATTTACCTCGACGTTTCGGCTACGTTACAGCAGCCGTGGTCACGAGGAGACTAGAGAACTGGCGGGTGTCGTCTTCTGATTTTAGTTGAGGGTAATCCGGTAATAATGTTTTTAACTGATTTTCAGATGTACCCTCCACTTGATTTTATTAAACGTAAAGGTGGCGACACACTGCACTTACGGTATCCGAGAATATTGTTCGTGGTTGTTTGCGATCGCGACACTTATACATTTTTATAACCGGATTCCACGTTGGTGAGAGTTTATATCCACTTTCCCGGTTGAAATTGTTGTGTTTTTTGATTTCAACCGCTTCACGAACAATCCTTGGATAGTAATGTCGTTCAGTGGAAAGGACATGAGGTGTATGTAACTCGATCCAGTGGTTTGATCCAGATGATAATAAGTGCTCTGCAATCGCGGATTTCTCCACTTGACGATTTTTGACCGCTGCTATGTGTTCTCTTACACGTTCGGCGATAGTCCGCTTCGTTTGTCCGATATATGAACTACCGCAGCTGCAGTCAATTTTATAAACGCCAGGTTTTTGGTAAGGAATACTATCCTTTGGTGATCGCAATTGGTGTGACATTTTTGATAAAGGAGTAAAAATGGTGTCTATAGAAAAATTTTTCCTCAAAATGGAACCGATTTTGTCCGTTACTCCCTTAACATAGCCTAAAAATGCCCGTTGCCTGGGAACCTTAGGTAGTCTTTCCTTACACCTTCGGATAGGGTATGACCTCCTTGCGCTGTATCCATTTTTCCTTAGCACGTCCTGTACATGGGACAACTCATCTGCTAAGAAGTCAGTATTACATAATGCGTTAGCCCTGTTAATAAGAGTTGTCTCCACAGAACGTAGGTGTTGAGGATGATGATGAGATGAAGCGTGGAGGTACTTGTCTGTGTGTGTTGGTTTCCTGTAGACAGTGTGTTTCAGGGACCCATCAGCTTGCGCCATGACTTTAACGTCCAGAAAAGGTAAGGTTTTGTCACTCTCTAACTCATAGGTGAACTTGAGATTCGGATGGATATTATTGACGTGTGTAAGGAACTGCTCAATCTCCGGTTTGTCGCCCTTCAGGATACAGAACACATCGTCTACATACCGTTTCCACATACGGATCCCATGTGACTGGTAATCTATCAATGACTCGACATGTTCCATCCATATATTGGCTAAAAGTGGCGCTACGGGGCTACCCATGGCGACACCATCAATTTGAAGGTAATGTTTGCCGCGATATAGAAGATAGCTGCCATCTAAACAGTTCCGTAATAGAACCATGTACCCTTCCGGTATATGAACATGTGAACATGTGAACATGTGAACGATGTCGTATTATTTAATATTGCTTGCTGAGCATTTTATAAGTCATAGACACGCATCATCATAATTGAAAACAGCTAAAATCAATATTGCGTAAATCATCTTATTTACTATTGCAACTTATGTATTTGATTCGTATACAGAGAAATTGGTGTAAGATCCCAAGCAAACCTCACCTGCACGCGGTACACCCTGCTGACTAACCAACGAGGCTCTGGCGCTCCCCACCAACCCGCACTGGGCCAGCGTGGTGGGAGACGGCCCAAAACCCTCCAAATATATAAAAAATAAACCCAATTGAAAAGCCTCAAGTGCCCGGCGGTGCCGTAAACCGTGCCGGCGCGGACGGACGCCGACTCGGCAAAGGCACCAGGGGTGCGAAGAATCCCCGGGCGGCTAAGATCCCCCGTCAAACGATCTTGGCCCTGGCAACCTACAACGCACGCACACTGCGGACCGAGGAGAATCTGCTGGAACTAGAGAAGGAATTGGGCAGGATCCGTTGGAGTATTGTAGGATTATCTGAAGTCCGAAGAGAGGGCGAGGACACGATGATCCTTAAATCCGGCAACCTGTTCTATTTCCGGGAGGGCGAAGATCTGTCCCAAGGTGGTGTCGGGTTTATCATCCACAAGTCTCTCGTGAAAAATATTGTACAGATCGGAAGTGTATCGAATAGGGTGGCGTACCTTATACGCAGAATCACCAAACGGTATTCGCTGATGGTCATACAGGTTTACGACCCGACCTCGACGCACCCCGACGAGGGAAGTGGAAACCATGTATGAGATTTATGACATTTCTCGGGCAATACATGGTTACACGACCCACTACACTGTTGTCATGGGAGACTTCAACGCAAGGCTAGGCAAGCGTGGCGATGTGGAATCGAAGGTGGGGCAATTTGGATCTGGGATCCAAAATTACCGTGGTCAAATGCTAGCCGCCTACATGGAGAGGGAAGGACTCTATATGATGAACTCCTTCTTCATAAAACGGTTGCATCGAAAGTGGACCGGAAGAGTCCGGATGGGATGACAAAAAGCGAGATTGACTTCATCATGTCGACTAAGACTCGGATATTCAATGACGTCTACTGAGACGTCATTGAATATCCGGATTGATCACTGGATCAATTCATTAATTACGGGAAGCGATCACCGTATGGTAAGAGGCGCATTGAATCTAAACATGAAAGCCAAACGGTATCGACTGGTGAAGTCTACGCTCCGTCCTGAAGCCACCCAGATCCGGGACGCCGAGCACTTTGAGCTCGAACTTCAAAACCGCTTCGATTGCCTGGAGAGCTGCTCGGATGTGGAAGAATACAATGACAGGGTCGTAAAAGCTGTCCTTACTGTGGGTTCAAAATTTCTCAAACCTCGCCGTACTCAAAAAAGAAGCAAGATATCGGAGCAGACAAGCAAGCTAATGGAAGAAAGTCGTGGAATGGTTCTGCAGTCTTCTGAAGATGCTCGTCGGCAACTCAATAGACAGATCTTCGAAGTCTCTCACACGCGACATACGCCAATTTAATACTCAATGTATTAAGGAGACGATTGAGCGGAATAAAGGCTCCAAAGTGTTCGCTAGAGATCTGTCTCTCGGTCAGAGCTTGCTGACGAAGCTAAAGACGGAGGACGGCAGAGTCGTTACATCCCGTCCTGAGCTTGTGGCGGAGATCGAACGCTTCTATGGACAGTTATACGCAACATCACAGAAACCTGTCATTGAGGCTACAGACCCTAGAGCCAAATTAACCCGACATTAAACCGAAGATATCCCGGACTATCAGTCCGGAAAGCGTTTCAGAAGCTATTTAACTTCGCCATACTCAAGTGCAAGACGCCAGAAGCATTGCACAGGGACGTAGTGGTGCTTTTCTTCAAAAAGAGCGACAGGACCCAATTGAAGAATTACAGACCCATCACGCTTCTGAGTCATGTGTACAAGCTGTTTTCGAGAGTCATCACGAATCGTCTTGCACGTAGATTTGACGATTTCCAGCCTCCTGAACAAGCCGGTTTCCGAACACATTCATACGCTGCGACGGATTATACAGAAGACCGAGGAGTATAATCTGCCACTGTGCTTGGCGTTTGTGGACTATGAGAAAGCCTTTGACTCTGTCGAGACCTGGGCCGTGCTTAGGTCTCTCCAGAGGTGCCAAATTGACTATCGATACATCCAAGTGCTGCACAGTCGCTGTATGAAAACGCCACCATGTCAGTTCGGCTCCAGGACCAAAACTCGAAAGCAATACGACTTCGGCGTAGAGTGAGACAGGGCGATGTTATATCGCCGAAACTGTTCACTGCCGCACTGGAGGACGTGTTAAAGCTTTTGGACTGGAGAGGACTTGGCGAGTCAATATAAACGGCGAGTACATGACGCACCTTCGTTTCGCTGATGATATCGTAGTCATGGCTGAGACCATGGAAGATCTAGGCACAATGCTCGAAGACCTCTGTAGAGTTTCCCAGCAATTGGGTCTTAAAATGAACATGGAGAAGACAAAAATAATGTCAAACTCCCATGTCGTACCCACTCCAGTGAACGTTGGAGGCTCTACACTGGAAGCCGTCGACGAGTACGTTTACCTGGGACAAATAGTCCGATTAGGTAAGTCTAACTTCCAGAGAGAGGTAAATCGACGGATCCAACTCGGCTGGGCAGCGTTCGGGAAGCTACGCAGTGTATTCTCGGAACATCTACCGCAGTGTCTCAAGACGAAAGTCTTCAATTCGAGCGTGTTGTCAGTGATGACATACGGTACTGAGACGTAGCCGTTTACGATGGGCCTTATAAGGAAGCTCAAAGTCACTCAGAAGGCAATGAAAAAGGGCTATGCTCGGAGTTTCTTTGCGAGATCAAATCAGAAATGATGAGATCCGCAGAAGAACGAAAGTCACCGACATAGCCCAAAGCATTGCGAACCTCATGTGGCAGTGGGCAGGGCACATCGCTCGCAGGACTGACGGCCGTTGGGGCGGTAAGGTCCTGGAGTGGCGACCGCGTACCGGGAGACGCAGTGTTGGAAGGCCCCCCACAAGGTGGACCGACGATCTGGTGAATGTCGCGGGAAGCCGCTGGATGCGGGAGGCGCAGGACCGATCGTTTTGGAGATCTTTGGGGAAGGTCTATGCCCAGCAGTGGGCGTCTCTAGGCTGAATTGATGATGATGATGATGACACAGAAATTATCTGAGATTGCAATTAAATTATTAAATAAAAAGAAAAAAAAATCAGAGATAGTTAACTTAAAATCTGGCGCTCTTAGGCGCATCCATAGTCAATTGAATTAATGTACCTTTTTTCTATGTGGCTATTTTTTTTCTTGTGATTACTCGGCCAGCGTGGAGGGTCATGCCCATCCTCCTTCTTAACCATCCATAAGGAAGGCCTAAGCCCCTGCAGTGGGGACGTAAAAGGGTGATGATAATGATGATAATAGATTATTATTGGAAAAAATGATATCGAAGAAATAAACAAAATCCTCAATTCACTATGTAGACATATTTTGTTTAAAATATATTTTATGTTTTTAGTGTTACATACCTATTATAAGCATATAAAAACCATCAATATCTCTAAATACATGAAATATTTAAAAAAAAAACAAAGAAATAAAAAGTTTCTTGAATAAGTCACTTTTAAAATTGCCTGAACCCATAGTCTCGCCGAGCCTTCTTGGTGAGAAATATAAAGGAATATATTACTTTCACCAGTCTCGGGTGTTCACGGCGTAAGTCCTTCCGGCCTATAATTTGTGAAGGTAGCATAGCAAACCAGTCGAGTATTATTAGTTTTCTTAAGATTTATAAAGCGATTTTGACTATCGACATTTAAATCATTTTGTAATTAAATATAAATATTTAATATTCAGGAGCTCATATATTAAACACACAAATTTAAATAAGCGATCAGACTGCTGGCGTCGACAACAGGCCAATTTCCCCGCGTCGCCCGCGCCCGCGGACGTCCAGTAAGAGACCTTAATTTAGTCGTTTTAACGACCGGCATACAGACGCAGCCTTTTTGTGTCGTCTTGTTTGCCGCTATCTGGTGGTCACTGACACGGTTAAATTATTATCACTCTTGTGAACGCATTCATGTTAGTTCGGCTCTGATCCATCGTTTGAACGAAGCCTCACCCAAGACTACAGCTCCAGCTTGTAGACTGATGTAGATAAGGATATGATTGGGGTGTGAAAAATAAGCAAAGATCGGTCATAATATTTTTATTCGCATATAATAATTGATTATGATACATGGAGTTCAAACGTGCGCTAGCCGATCAACGTCGAGCGGTAAGCTATCACTCCGAATTACATTTATTATTCATTTATATTGCATCGACATTCGTTCTGCAAAAAACCGTCGCTACATATTCACTAATGAGAGGTCTCTAGGCAGCATCTGTCAGTCGGACATGTAGTCCTCGCGATACTCCGACCGTTCGCGTTCATATACTTAAATGTAACAGTCAAATAGACAGCCAGATGTCCGTCCAATCAATATATTTATATACAAACAGGGCGCCGGGCCGCCGGGCCGGAGGCGGAGTTTCCGTGGCACGCGACGTGCGCACCTTAAATAATCTTAAAATCACTTCCATAATTTACGACTTAATTAAAATACCGAAAAACCTAAAGTCGGCGACGTCGGCGGACTCGTGAATGAGTTCGAGATTGGTGCAAGTGTCGAGCGTAGGCGCGGCGCTCACTCGGCCTTCACTTCGGCGGCGGGCGGGGCGTCGGCCGCGGGCGAGGGCTCGGCGGGCTCGTCCACCGCGGCCGGCACTTCGCCCACATCGGGCGCGCGCTCTCCACCTCCGCTTCCATCTGAAATAAATTCCACATGAAGTAGACTGTTTAAAACTTCTGCTATCTGTTATCTATCTTTTAAATTATACTAGCGGACCTGGCAAACTTTGTTCTGCCCAAGAAAATTGAATATAAAAATATATACATTTCTCAATTCCATTCAATCTAACAGTCAATGAATGGGCAAATTTAGGATTTAGCAATACCATAGACAGAGACAACATTACATGAACTGTCAGCTGAGATTTATTGTGATAAATTATTACTAAAACAATTTTTTTGAATCTTATATTATTTTTATAGATAAAATATAATACTTATTATCTTATTCCCTACAAAGACAAATTAAAAAAACACAATATCATAAAATCAGTCCTGCTATTCTCAAGTTATAGATGGTTAACTAACACAACTTTCTTTTATATATACAGATTAGTGACTTGCCATACACCATACTTACATAAAAAATTAAATAGTATTTCACCATCTAAACCAGTGTAGGCCATTGTTTGCAACATAGTGAGGATGAGAAATGCAATTGATAGATTTAAAATTAATTACGACAACCCGGAAGTATATTAGAGTGAAAACTGATGAAACGTTAAAAGATTTACACACACCTAAGATTTCTTTTACCTAAGCAAAAACTTCGTGAAGCGCCCTACCTTTACCCCCACTTCGCTTCATGAGGCTGACGAGTTCATTTACCATATTTTTACAGTGTATGATTTTATTGTATCGTAACCTTATATTGTGTATGAAAAGATCTGAAAGTTCGTTTTTTTAACTGTAGATCATCACTGGCACCAAAAGATTTAATCCCCTGGCTTGCCCATAAGATTCGGTCTCGATAACAGTATATATCATGTCAACAGAATGTGAGAGGGCGATACTCACTACGTTGCTGGTGATGATAGTACAGGTTGTGCCTGGGCGCGTGGTGTGGTCGCGGGGGCGCGGGGGCCTGCTGGGGGCCGCGGTAGAGGGGTACCGCGGGCGCGTGCGGTCGCTGTATGGGCGCCGGGTAGCGGGGCGCCACCATGTTGCCGCGCATGCCGCCCCCCTGCTGCCCGCCGCACCGCCCGTTGTTCCCAGGACCAACCATCTGCTGGAATCAAACGGATTACTACTTTTTTTTATACGCGGCGCGTTCTTAGCCGATTAAAGATAATAAGCAAGTATTAGGATGAAAACTGTTATCAAAAGTATCTTTGAATAAACAATCTTTCCTATTTTCGTTATTACAATATAAACAAAAATACAAGTCTCATTTGATGACAGTTCTTGGCGCAAAACTTGAATATAAGAAGCGGATCATCACATAGGGATTTTGGATAGTGTTTTAGACCCTTTAACGCAAAATGAATCGATTAGAATATCTAAGTGCGGAAAATTAGAGCCCCCTAACCTAACCTAAGCCAATCATGAACTGTAATAGCAAATCACATAACGATTTATTTAAAAGTACTTTATATGACAGCACGCGTTGCATGACGAACTTCGAAAAACTTTTATCTACACACTCAATTGTCACTTTTTCGGATGCGCCTATACGACATCTAATTCTCGACCTGAGAAAAATAACATTTTTATCGAGTATGTCATGTTACGTGTGCTGTACTAAAAATAATTAAGTAAAATAATATAGGTGTCAAATATATTTTCAATTAACGTAATATGACGAAGCTGTAGGTACCTGCTGCTGGTGGGGCTGGTGCTGGTGGTGCTGATGCGGGGTGTGCGGCGGCGGCGGGTGCGCGTGATACTTGTGCTGGGGCGGCGAGTGCGGCGGCTTCTGCGGCTTCACGCCCTTCGGCGTCGGCGAGGCGGAGTCGCATAGAGGCGCGAAACCGTTCGCGTGCTCGTGAAGAGGACTCTTGAGTTGCTGCTGCGGTGGCGGCGGACGCGGCTGCGGCGGCGCGTACTGCTGCTGCATCGGCGTGCGGTACTGCTGCTGCTGTACGTGTTGATATCGTTTCTTAGACAATCGATACACGAAAATGTAATTATTGGGAAGGATATTAAGGCACAGGATAATACGACAAAACTTAGATGAACAGTTGTTAGTATCAGATAGTTTTGAGACAGCAATAGAGATTAGGCAAAAGACATGACATTGGATTAGACTGTTTTTGATGCTCAATGATGACTCTTGGATAAATTACTCAAAACTACATCGGCAATGTTCTTAAAAAATATACTTTCTATACAGCAATCTCGAATCACTCATAATTAGCTGACTTTTACGACAGCTATTGTACAGTCAACCTAGCATGTTATTTCGATTTAGTTTAGTTAGAAAAGAAATATTGGTTAAACTGTACCTGCATCTGCTGGACGGCGGCTGCCACCTGCAGCTGCGAAGACAAAAACTGCGACCCGAACGCCCCCGATTGTGCCGGCTGCGTGAACTGTAGCGGATAGTTGGGCGCGGGCCCGTTCGGCGGCTGGTATGGCGAGTAGTACGAAGAGGCGGGGGGCGCGGGGCGGGGCAGCAGCCCGGGTAGCGAGTACGGCGCTTCGCCGACGGGGCCCGAGTAACCCAAGTACTGCTGCTGGTATGTATTCACGCCGCCAACACCTCCGACGCCGCCCACACCGCCGCCTTTGCTTCCTACGAATATCGTTTTGAGTGTCAGTAGGCTGAGTAATAACCTTTCAACACTAGCACCGTTTTAGGTGTCAGTAAGCTAGTCTAGGGTTAAACGCAAGAAACGAACTTCAGAATGGTTTGTATGGAAACATATATAGATTCAGTATACCTACATTGCCTATAAGCTTGATGTTACTTATTTTATTTAAAAATATAAATTAAGTTAGCGAAATTATAAACAGGAACATTGTGTTGTTCTCTAACTGATAGAATATTTAATACCTTCGATATAAGATTTAATTGTAGAATGATTAAAGCATCTAAATAAACTAATATGCGCCAAAAATTGTGAGAATTTTGTGTTATTTTTTATTTGTTAGCAAAGTTTAAAAAAGAATTGTTCCTCCTCTGACTCTTATTGATGATCTGCTACTATAAAGCAAACGTATTAGTAAACACGTTTACTACAAAATTGTCACAATAAGAAATATAAATCTTGTTTTCTTACTAGAAAATGTCCTCTTTCTTTATAGAACTTTTATATCACAATTATTTTATTGTTTACCTATAGCTCCAATTTGTTGAGTAGAAGGTTTGACGGTAGCTGACATCAGTGAGTTGGAGGTACTAGAAATAAGGACAGTGCTAGGACTGTTTGCGATTTGTCCCGATTGACCAAAAGCTGCGCCACCACCAGCTGCAGCTGCTGCTGCCGCCTTGTAAAAAAAAAATACTATGTAGATACACATTTTCAAAATAATATTTTACCTAAAATCAATAATGCTTACCATTCTGTACTGACTCGGTAGGCTTGAAAACATGTCAGGTGGAGGTTGATAATTGTATGGGGCAGCAGAACCCGCGCCATAAGGAGTGCCAGGGAATCCACCAAACTGTCCTCGACTCTGGTCAAGGAAAGCACCATATAGCCCGCCTTGTTGGGGCAATTGTTGTGATGAACCTAATAGCTGCTGTGATGAGTTAAACAAAACCGCAGGAGGCGATGGTACAGATAGACCCCCGTACCCTCCTTGATAGCCTACATGATTGTAATGTTGAGGCGGCGGTGACTGTAGCTGCTGTGTTGGCTTCACTTTACAAACGTTCGGCGGCGCGCCGGTCTCCGTATTATTTTCTTCAAAACTGGCAAACTGTAACTCTTCAGTTCCTTCAGCAACTGCAGACATTTCCCAAACTTTCTTAACACTGGCGATTTTCAAATTGAGATCAGCCGCGAGAGGTGAAATAGTATTTGACGTACTCATATGCACACCACGCGGTAAGCCAAGTGTTTTAGGTGTTTTATCTTCAGTAAGTTGGCCGAGATCAGAATCGAAGGCGAAATCAAGTTTCATGTCAGACGAATCTTCAGGTTTCTGAGTTGTGTCAAAGGACATCTGTATACCTAAAGAGCCATCGCTGTCGCCAGTAGGTCTACCGTTATCGCCTATGAGTTCCTGTATAGACCTTGGACGAGGGCGAACGTCGCCATTGAAGGGTAAGGTACGAGATTCCATTTCAGCAGGTATTTCCTCTGCTTGAGGTTTGGCAATGTTAGCGCTGGATTGATATTTTTGTTTTAAGGCCTCGGCAGGTGGAGCAGTCTTATAGTTTGTATTCTCGAATATAATAGTTTCCACAGGAGGCGTGGTCCCGTCCAGAACGCCAGTTTTCTCAGTAGTTATAGCACATGTTACGGCAGTTTGTGGTGCTGGTTTTACTTCAGGTAAAGCTTCTGCAGGAGTACTGCGTTGACTCGACTGTGCAGATTTGTTTTCAATAGGTTCTGAAGGCTCTTCTACATTCCCACGCAATGTTTGCGAGATAGGTTTGTCCCAAGCATTTACAGGTGGCGGAGGAGGTGCCGCACCTGTATCAGGACCGAACGCGGTCACTAAGCTCATTTGCTTTTGTCTTTGTTTGACAAACCGTGGCGCTAAGTTAGCTTGGCGAGGACGTTCATATTGTGAAGTTGATTTCCCAGAAGATGGCGCTCCTCGAGGGTTTGATTTATCGCTAGAATTTCTTGAAGATGATCCATTTCTACCGCCGCCTTGGTTAGAGTGGGATCTGGGTTGCTTTGGCATTTGTTGAATATCCTCTTTAGTTTGTAACCCTCGTATATCCTTAGAATTCTTTTTATTACGTACTTCCTGAAATCCATCATCGATAACGTCTTCTCCGTCTTTTTTAACAGCAGATGATAACTTCAGATCAATCATAGCCTCTGTAAGTTCAATAGTTTTGCTATCACCTGCATTATCCTTCTTATTATTCGGAGCGTTGCGACCGTTGTTTTGACGGTTGCCTGAATTCTGGTTTCGTCCTCCTAGAGATTTTTGAGATTGTCCCTGCTGCCTACCCCCTACAGATCGGTGGCGACCAGTATTGCCTCCCCCTTCGGAATGTTCTGATGTAGTCTCCCAATTTTCATCTTCACCACTGAGGGGTCCACCTGCACCTTTCGGTCGGCGATCACGACCCCTACCTGTGGAAGAGCCTGTTCGCGGTTTGTTTGTCTTTACTTTTTCGTCTGGCTGCGTTCCATCTTTATTAACTTCTTCATCCTTTACTCTATTAGCTTGACTGAAAGGACTTTTGGTGTTTGGGGGACCATAACCGGTAACCCTTTTAGCTGGTGCTGGAGGTCTAGCTGCACCTTGGAAACCACCTCTTCCACGTCGGGAGGGCTGCCCTCGTGGTGCAAATGGTTCTCTATTTTCCAAACCATCTGTAACTGGAGGCTGATGATCCGTAACAGAAGCTCTGTTGGAGTCTTCTGACCTATCAGTTTTCTTAGGCCCTCGGGGACTCCTTGGGGCCCTACGTCTTTCTTTGCGCTCAGAGTTCGGAGCCCCATCGGTAGAGCCATCAGATTCACTTGCCCTATTGTTAGAGCGTGAGCTACGATGAGAACGTCGCCCACGAGATTCTCTTGGTCCCCAACCTCTATTATAAACAGCATAACCACTGCTACCATATCCTCTACTTTTCTTTTCAGATCCCGATCCGCTTGACTTACGCTCTATGGGATCTTTAGGAGGAATTTTATTAAGCTGCTCATTGCTGAAGCGTTCATTGCGTTTATCATCACCAGATCGCTTTTGAGAATCCACACTACCATGTAGAGATTCCACTGAAACTGCTTCATTTGCTTTTGCACCACTTAATGCAGAAGGATCAGAACTAGACTTTGATGCTACAGATTCAGACTCGGAGAGCTCCTTTTCAGATTTTTGTGAAATAAATATTGGTTTGTTCATTACTGGTGCTATATCAGGTTGTTTTTGGGTTTGAGAAGATAGAAGATTTTCATTTGTGTTTGTAGGTTTAGAGAGAGATTGGTTAGAAGGCTTAGGAATGGACTGATTATCAGAGAAAGAAGATTGTGATGGAGCAATAGAAGTAGCAGGAGGCACCTGATTATTGGAATATGAGTTTACTTGAGAGGCTTGTAAATTCTGAGGCATGGTTTGTGCATTAGTTGGTGGATTATTATTGTTGTATTTATGGTTTTGACTTTGTTGTAAAGGAGGTGTGGTAATATTATTAATCTGTATTGGTGCTTGTTGCGGCAATTGAGCAGGGGATGGTTGTAACGGTTGTGGAACCGGTTTATTATTATCATTTTCCAATGAAGATTGCATTGAATCTGTTGCAAGTTGTTCAATGTCTTTTGGCGCAGTGTTCTCCACGGGACCTTTAAGAACTGTATAATTATTAGAGTCTTCTTGAGTTACTTCAGCCCAAGAAGATTTAGCAAAATCTCTTTCAGAAGAATCTCTTTGAGAGGAAATAGAAGGTGGCGTGTTACGTCTTTCAGATACTTGCGTTTGAGACGAATCGGAAGAAGCAAAAGATTCGGCAATTCCTATACTCTTTCTTTCAAATACCTCTGTTAATTTATCAGCAGCTGTTCTACTGCAATTTTCTATAGCGCTCGGTAAATCTGTCGATTTCTTTTCCTTGTATTCACCATAAGAGTCCTTAGAATTCGACCTTTCTAGATGGTCTCTACCAGTTCTGTCATAATCTTGCATTTCCGAACGCCATTGCGGTCCAGCTCCATCTTTTTCTCTTCTAAAGTCATCCTCACGGTCAGAATAATCTCTGAAAAAAAAATTAACACAGTGATTTAAACAGAATATTATAAATCTGTAGTACTTGGAGGATTCGACAGTCCTGTTAGGTTCTGGGTAACTAAGTGGTTGATCGCCCAGATTGCGAAAGGTCGTAGATTTGAATCCAATGTCAGAGTACAAAGGACAATGTGGATTTTTAAGTAATATACATTATTTTAGGTTGTGATAAAATCAATAAAAAAAACTCATTTTCCTATTTTCGATGGAATGCCCCATCACTACATAGTGTAAAACAAAGTCACTTTCTCTGTCCCTATATGTATGCTGAATTCTTTAAAACTACGCAACGGTTTTTGATGCGGGGTTTTTTTCATAGATAGGGTGATCCAAAAGGACGGTTTTTATGTATAATACAAGACCACACGGGCGGAGCCGCAGGCGGAAAGCTAGTGAGCAATAAAATCTTAACTTTACTTTCATTTAAATAAAAAAAATACCTTGAATATGAACGTCGTCCATTGTGTGATGCGTGACGAGGAGCATTGTAAGGCGGCGGTTCTTGACGACGCGGTCCCGGCTTACCGGAGAATGCCCACGCCTTATTATGCTGATCATCTTGTTGTCTGTTTTGTTGCTGCTTTAAAAATCGAGGTGGAATATTGGCTTGGAACGTTTTAAAAAATGCTGGATTTGATTGATCTCGCTCACGACCATAGTCACGATCTCTCTCTCGGAAATCACGATCACGATCATTTCTATCTCTATCTAATCGGTCCCGATCGCGATCGCGTTCTCGTTCGCGGTCACGTTCACGATCTCTATCACCACGATCTCTATCGCCACGTTCCCTTTCTCTATCAAATCTATCACGATCTGTTCGATCTCCGCGATCTCTGTTATCATTACGGTCTCTATCGCGATTGTCCAATCTATCCTTTTCGTTTTCTTGCCGATCCCTATTATCCATGCGACCTCGGTCGCGATCACGATCTCTATCCCTCGTATCTCGATCACGATCTCTTTCAAATCGCTCTCTATTTTCAATACGATCGCGATCTTTATCACGTCCTTCTCTATCTCTAATATCTCGAGTATCATTACGGTCTTTGTCCCTAATATCCATGCGGTCTCTTTCCCTGTCAACACGATCTCTATTGTCTCCCCTTTCTTTGTCTCGGTTGTCGTGCTGCTCTCTTTCTCTGTTCTCCCTGTTGTCATTGCGATCTCTGTCACCTCTGTCAGATCTATCACGAGGATCTTTATTCGATTGTTGCGTCGCATCGCGCATTTGCCGCCGTTGTTCCTCCTCCTTACGTTGCTTCGCGCGGGCCACAGCTTGAGCCACTTCATTGTTCTGTTTCTGGCGGCGTTCAGCCCAAAGCTGCTCCTCATCTCCGGGTTCTTGGATTTTCGCATCCACTCGTTCAGTTTCAATACTGACCCGATTATTTTTATTTGAAGACTTATTCGGGGCTGACGACTCTCCATCGGAAAAATCCAATTTTTGACTAAAATAAAAAAACATCGTTAAAAAAATTATCTTAACAGTTATAACGATAAATTATTAAATATGTTATAAATGGTAACTTTTAGGTAAACAATAACTATGTAGTATTTTTTTGAATGAACTTTGAAGAATGTTTGAAACGAAACAAGTGCTTTGGAATGTTAACTTCGAGCATAGTCATTCTGCCAATAGCATAAATAATTTAGTGTTTATGTGCCATTGATTTAAAGTAGGCAGCGCGTCTCGTGCCCATACACAGCCGTATATTGGTGCACGTTAAACGCCTACCATGGTACTCACGCCGCGATTTATTAGTTAAATAAACTCACTCGTAATCAATATCGTCGTTCTGCGCCCAGCCCGCGTCGCGGGATATATCGTCCAGTGAGGAGATCTGTTCATCGCGCAGTATAGGCCGGGCGGTGAGCACCTCGACGGCGCGCGGGGTGGCGGGGGGCGGCGGGCGCGGGGCGGGGCGCTGCGCGGCGGGAGAGGGGCCGCCGCCGCCGGCGCGCGGGTCGCGGAGCGAGCCCAGCGTACCCAACCCGAGCCCGCTGCCGTTGCTACCTTTCATCAGCTGGAAAAGTTACATTACAACATTGAGAAAAAAAAATCGCATAGAATGAATCGCATCTTTTAAATTTACTCAAGGGAATTTTCAATATTTTTGCTACCTATCCTATTCCTATTCACAAAACCCTATACTAATTGACATTTCATTATTCCGTCTTCAACTCTCGCGCTGTGAGAACTAAAAATCAGCAGACACGGTTTCACAGTCTCAAACTACATACATACATGTCATACTCGCGTCACGATCGCGTACAATCAGCTGAAACTGTGGAGGTAGACGAGAAACAGGAAAGGATCACTGTTCTCTAGAGCTCGCTACATCATCAGCATTCAGCACCATACAGGTCAGTAAGTAATTTCGTTTTCCCCACCAAGGTTAAAAACTATGAATTTGGGTTAAGGCTATGTTAAGGTTGTGTAGCAAAAACCACCAATTTTTTTTAGGATTAAAAAAAAAACAAACTGGGTTTTTTTTTTGTATAACAAAAACACAAACATATTTTTTTTCTGCAGTTTCAGTAAAAATTCATGTTGTATACTAGTTAAGGCTAGTTAAGTATAAAACTGGATATTACCCAATATAACATGCATTGGGATTTATCATCTTGAATAACATAAATTCAATTTCATTATCATTTATTCAGTCTATGCTGTTACCAGCACTTGTGAATGTTAGAAACTACACCATCAGCAAATCTACAGCGGGAGATTTTAGAATCGGCAAGAAACTCAACAAGGGACCAGTTTCATTCCATATTTATATTAAATTATCACCAAAGTGCATGCGTCAGCTCAACCGAAAGCAGGTTAATAAAGCTTGTGAGAACTAGCACAATTAAAATAAAATCTTGCAATAACGATACATACGAAGGACGGCAGAATAGCACGGAAGGCGGGCGTCTGCTGTGAGGCGGGCGTCGAGGCGGGCGCGGCGGCGGGAGATGATTCTTGACGCACGCCAGCAGTGCCACCGCACGTCCAGCTGCCTTCGGCTATTACATTAAGGAAAATCACTTTGAAAACTCCTAAAAGCACAAGTGTTGATAAACCCAAACTGACATTAAAATATTAATATTTACTTTTTTTACTTGTCATGTGAACATCTCATATTACTATCTTGTTGGCATGGTTACTACGTAACAAAGAACAATAACCTCTGATATTAGACCAGATTCAACAAACTTTTACTAATGTGGATAAATGATCATATTAGAGACCTAATGCAGTTATCAGATTTCTCAAGTACTTACATTGCTTCATTTTATGTAGAGGGAATTTATTATGCACTGCTTCATCAATAATAATGTATCCTGAATGCACACTTAACTTTTTGTTTTATTTGCAGCCAGCAACACAAAACTTACAAATGTCATTTTATAATGAATGGGAAAATCTTACTTTGTGGTCTGAGTTGTGGCTGGGGTCCAGAATGTTCCAAAGAGCGGTGTGAAGGTTGTGCCGCTGCTTCTAATGATGGGAATTCTGTGCGAAAGTGAGGTGATGAAGGAGGTGGCAGTGCCACCCAGCCGCCAGGTCCTGTGCCTGCAACTACACTGCTGTTCGAAGTTGTAGTCTGAAAATGAGTATGAGAACAGGTGAACTGTGTTTCTTCTTAAAATTGAAAAAATAACCTGTTATTTTAAAATACTCACTATAATTTGAGAGGAGCATGTTGCTGGTGTAGATACAGTAGTAGTAGCAGCAGTAATAGAGCTAAAAAATAGGTAATCATACAATATAATACAATATTTCATTTGATAAAGAATAATACATTTTATTTTATAGTAAAATATCATACTTAGTGTTTGGGTCTTGACCAGTTTCAGTTTTCAAAGAGGGCAAATTGGCTGGTGGGCGTCTAGCCGAAGGTACTTTTCCAAGACTTTGCATTCCATGTTTGCGGCTTAGTTGAGATTTTACTGAGGACGGTTCAGAGTTCTCGTTCTGAAAACAACAAAACAATTATGAAAATTTTGTTTCATTGTTATACATCATGCTAACTTCTTAAATAAGGACAATGCTCCACTTTACTAAGTGAACACAATTTTTATTTCACTAAAATTTTTTAAAATACCTACAAATAAAAGAATCTTTGTCTTAACATCCTCAAAAAATAGTTTTTTTGCAAATAAATGACCTCATAGAATGGCCTTCACAGTGAATCTTATGTTTCAAACACAATGATACCAAAACTTTTGGTCAATGACCTTCTTCATACATAGAACAATATTTTTAACAATACAAAAGAAGTAAGTTTTAGCTTTGACAATATTAAACCAACTTATATAAGGCAGTTTATACACATCTGGTATGTTTATTGGTCAAACTTTTTCTTTAAGAACTCCAGCAACAATAATATTGCCAATACTGCCAATTCTACATGAAGGTCAATCCATTGAAGTGCGACAGTTACATTATGTATTTCTCATATTGTTTTTAAATATGTTTTTTGAAAATAACTTTGAGATCAATGACAAGCAGCAAAAATACAATGACTTGATTGTCAAACAGGCACATAATTCTAAATTTAATAATATAAATTATCAATGATGTGAGCGAAGGATGATTGTCATTATTTTAACCTTCAAAAGACAACCAAGTAGATAAATACTAACTCTATTGGCGCAGTACAAGCTATTGATGTCCAACTTCTGATATTTTTGCTTGCCGGACGTCGGCTTCGTCTGCGCCGTAGTACCTCCGCCGCCCGGCGTCGAGAGTGCAGACATGCTGCGATGTACACACCATCAGGAGGTTACCCTCTCACCAACCACCAACTGCAACCAGCATAACATACACTTGAGAACTCCCTCAAAACTGTTACCTCACGTAACGCAAGCGTCCATTAAACATCACTTCAAACAACAAAAAGGCGACGAAGCACTTTCTTTTCCACACTTATTTGCTTAGGTACACTAACTTTATCACCACCAATGACTACGAAACAAAACACTTTCACAGCACAGGGACAAACGAAAGCCCTGCCCTCGGAGAATTATTGACGTGTTACATCCGTGCAGTGAACGCTGGATCGATCATCACTTTTTTCTTAAACAATTTAATATTACTTTAGTCGCAATGCAAGTTCTTCTTTACTATTATAACAAAACTAGTACAAGATAACGGTACTAACAAGATAAAAGTAGAGGAACCGTAAATAAACTATTTCTCGTCTCTATAGGTAGACAACAAAATCAAAATAAATATCTACCTTGGTCCGTTACACTCGGTATTACAGTATATAAATTATCTAAGCTCAAATGCTAATTTCCTAACGAAGATTACTTTAGATTTTAACTATATTCTACGCTACCAAAAACTTATATCACTTTATTTAAAGATGGCGTCTCCAAAAGACGATCTCCTTCCTTTTTTCACAATCAATATCGTGACGTCACAAAGACCACAGACAGAGGTTAGTTGCTAACGCACTCTGTCGGAAAAATTGCAAAGGAATTGAAAACCAGTGTTACCAGCTTGCTAAACCACAAAGAAAACACTAAAAAAGGATCGACTCTCTTATTTGATATTGATTTGTAGGTATTACGGGGAAAACAATTTGTATTTTGATTTGATTTATTTATACTATGCCCTCTTCAGAATAGTCTGCTGTTGTTTACCTCAAAATTTCAAGTAACAAAAATTTTTGGATGAAAAATAAAAATCTTATAATCAAAAAGTTGCGCTTTTTTGTCGAGTGATCCCAACCGTGGCACCGTGATAAATATCAATTTAACTCTTTTCGAGATTCCACTTATTTATTCTTCCACAAGAAAAATGCTAGCCAATAAGAGCAATATTTCGCCACTACATTCTTCGATTTATAGTGGCGACGTTTTAGTAGAAAAATCACTAAGTTGGCAACACTAAGAGAAACCATAGCAAATGCCAAAGAGTACAGTAATATTTTGAATATATCTCTGGTTTGGAGCCATAGATGTCATCCAAAGAGATGTCATCTCAAAATGTATTGAGGAAGTATTTAAAAAATAAAAATTAGTTCTTGAAATTATACTAGGTGTCATTGGCAATGTTTGAATTTTGTTTATGATATTCATTCCAATTTTGTTTATGACGTAATAAAAGTAAATTGAGTATCGAAAATTAATAAATATAACATCGTTTTGTGTTTCTAATAATATCTAACTTTCAAATTAATTTTAATTTATTTTAATCGTAAGTTTAAGTTGTTTATGATCACGTAACATAATGGAAAAAAGGAACGATGTTAGACTGATACGTCAACATTAGTGATGAGCCAACTTATTGGTTGCTCGTAACTTCACTCGAATTCAGGTTTGGAATGAAAAACAAAAAGCGGAGCGCAGCATTCAGCTTGTATTTGTATGTGTCATTATCAGTGGTCGGAATTAGGTAGAGTTATTTATGTACTTACACTGATTTCATAGAGCGAAAGAATAAAGTGGATATGCCTCAAATCCCGAGATTAATTTTAAAGAGCAGAAAAAATCTCGTGATTTTTTAAATAAAAAGTTCTTTACTTTTACACAATTTAAACTACTGCACGCATGACGTTGCCAAACTTACATCAATGAAAGAAAGAAATAAAGAAATCTCGGGAAGGTCCACAATAATGTCAACATTTCGATGCAAGTACATAAATAACTCTACTTAATTCCGACCTCTGGCAGTGGTCGGAATTAGGTAGAGTTATTCATGTACTTACACTGATTTCATACAGCGAAAGAAGAAAGTGGATATGCCTCAAATCCCGAGATTAATTTTAAAGAGCAGAAAAAATCCCGTGATTTTTTAAATAAAAAGTTATTTACTTTTACACAATTTAAACTACTGCACGCACGACGTTGCCAAACTTACATCAATTAAAGAAAGAAATAAAGAAATCCCGGGAAGGTCCACATTAATATCAATATTTCGATGCAAGTACATAAATAACTCTACCTAATTCCGACCTCTGGTCATTATGCATCCACAAAACGAATGATATCAATATAAATATCAAAATCAATTCAGTCTAGGCTGATACATATTTAGGAACCATTAGGTTGAAGGTTGGAACCTACAGTGATGATGGAGACAGCTGGCAAGGGAGACTAAAGGATAATTGTTTCCCTCCGAGCTAGGTGTTGTTAGCCCGGGAACCGTGGTCCAACGGATGTAGGTTGGACGTTCTATTTATGCTAATAGGGATGATGACTAGGTAAAAAAAATGCAATTCTATTTAATCCGTCAGTCAGATAATAGAAAAATATTAGATACGTATTTTTTTTTTTTACTTCAATTTAACAAGAAATAGCTTAGATAACAGGCATTAAAGTTGAGGACTGGGGGCTCGCTACGTCACAGTTGAGTAGAAAACGTACTCTAACGTGACGTCATGCGAAATTTCAACTCCATGCAACGCCGTAATTTTATGATTACGAAAAAAATACGTGTTTAATATTTTTTAACACTCTACCTGACAGACAAACGTTGGTAATTAAACTTATTTTGTGCGATGTAAGTTTCTTTGTTCTAAATGCCTTAAATTAATAATGTTTGTATTGGTACAGCGCCATCACATTACTGGGTGTTGCAACTTCTTGCAGTTCGTCTTGCTTTTGAATGCTGTGACGATGCTAGTCTTCTCTCTATCGATTGCTGTGGCGATGTTAGTGCGATGAATTAAATGTCGCTACGTATCAGTCGCCACACATAGTACTTGTGAATGTCGAAAACTTTGCCAATGGTTCGCAATACTAAGGTGGGAGATCTTGTACTGACAAAAATCAAAAAGAAACTTAGCAAGGACTGCTTTTTTAATTTCAACAATACAACTCAATTATACTATATTTGAGGGAACGTAACGGCCTAACGCACGCGACACCACCGCAGACATTTTAAGAGAGCATGAGTACTCTAGTTGCTTGGTTAATAATATATTTCAATAAAACTGATTTCTAGAGTAGGTTGTGTTGGAATTCAATCTATTATTACCAATATTCTCGTAAGAACCAAAAAGCACATACCCAGAGTACGAATTAACTTAACACATGGCTTAACGTCCGCCGTCGACATGCAAGATCAGTAGCAATATTATAATAACTGTACGTGTCAAAGACATGTTCAGTTCGTTTAGAACAGATGTTTCTTGTTGATTGCTGAATGTTTATTAGGATTATTTAATTATGAATAAAAGATATAATAACTGATCACAGTTTTTTAAAGTCTTAATTTCAAAAGCACAAGTTATTTGCACGTAACACTCTGCACAAACGTCATTTTAGCCAGAAGTCATGTTATTTTGTACGAATACCTAATATATTTGATAAATATCGGGTAAGACAGTATATGGATAATAAACGGATTTTTTATTTTTATTATCATTTTTATGACTTTTGTTGCTGATTTATAAATCATATTCATTCATTCACCATACATAATATAAAAATATTATTGAGACTTGATGTAGTTTGTTGTTGTGAACTTACAACTACAAACAACTAATAGCAATAAAAGTAACTTACCTTATTATTATTATTATAATAATGAAAATTACTAAACCTACTATGGCATAAGTATATTATTTATAAAAACTATTTGGTGGTAATATTATTGGAGACTGTAGCTAAAAGCCACTTTTAATTATATCACATCATTAATTCAATTGATTTCCATTGATTGAAAAAAAGGGCTGTGCTCACTTCCATTATGTTAGTTTCAAGTTTCCTCTATACAAATAAAAAAGAAATTTATTCAAAGATTACTTTGAATCAAGTTGCATTTGCAAAACAAATTAAATTTTAACTCGATATTAATCCAAGTTATCAGGTCCATAACAACACTGACAATTCTATTCTCTTTGGTTAGACGTCATGAATTGACGTTTTACGTTTAGATCCAACAATTTGTGCTGCCATCTAGTGACATAAATTTTTGTAGTTTCTTTATTTTTTTTTTAATACTTCCTCATACCCAAAGAGTTTAAAAAAAGTATGTAATAGCTTACAGCTTAATGTGTGATACATAATAAGAATAATAAATAAAACAAAGAAACCATGCTAAAATATATACCTATATTCGTCTTTTTTTTCCCTTATGATCCGTCTTAGTGATAAAAATTTAGAAAGAGTTGTATTAGTATTAGATCCTATGTATTAGATCACACTACACTTTGATTTTAGCCAAAAGGTCGAGAAGCGATATGTATTAGTATTAGTCATTCATGTCGCAATTTATGTAGGCTGTCGCTAGTTTTGCAAGCCCATGGATTCTCATAGATTTGCTATTTTTACCTTAATGATGTTCCTTGTCGACATTTTATCGATAAAAACAAGTTGAAATAAATAAGATATGGTGATGTGATTTTGAAAATATTAATGCTTTTTTTAAATAATTATACGATGAAGAAGTATTAAAAAAATATAAGTTCACGTAATCAAACTAGATGTCACTACGGTTTTTCCACGACAGCCCTTCCGGTTTTCTTTCATGTCTTAAAGTAAATTAGTTTTCAAAACTCAATAAACAATTCATATTCATAAGTACTTTTTTGTATTTGTAATGATATCTTAGTTTCGAACTTTCAGTTTTTTAATATGTTAGTTAAGGAACCGAAATAACTATCTTAAGTCAATTCGTTTCTTGCAAATTTCAACTTTCGCGCACGCATTCGAACATTTTTCATCGCCATGGAAAAGTAAAAAATTCGAGTAATTATGGAGTATGAGTACCGTCGTGGCAGCAAAGCGGTACAAGCGACACGTAACATCAACGACGTTTACGGAGCGAACACTACAAACAAAAGCAACACCCGTTATTGTTTTGCCCGCTTCCGTTCTGGAAATTTTAACCTGGAAATTAACCCCGTGGTCGTCCGAAAACTTTGGTTGACAATGACAAATGAAAGGCAATTGTGGAAATCAAGAAACCCTTTATTCAATCTTCTCTATGATCAAGAACTTACCGTAGCGACATCTAGTTTGATTTCAGGAACTAATGTTTTTTTTTTGATATTTCCTCATTATAGTCTATCTTTATCTTCACACCTTATCCCTGGCAGGATAGGCAGAGAGGACCGAACGTCACAATGTACGATCTTTCGCCTCATCCAATTTCATTACTCTTCATACATTCTCAACAGTTTCTATGGCTTTGAATTATAATGATTTCTAATAATATGATAGTCTAGAATTCTAGATCATATTTTCAACTGGATGTAGAGTATCGAATTGCTTTCACGATTCATCATCATCATCAGCCCTTCAACGTCCCCACTGCAAGGGCTCAAGCCTTCCTTACAGATGGTTAAGGACGGGCTATGACCACGCTGCCGCTGGCCCAAGGCGAATTGGAGGGTATTAACGATAACAAATGCAGTAGGGACCACTGGCTTAATGTGGATCATTAGAGCGCTTAGTGTAAATTTTTTGACGTCCTTTGACCTTTGCGTTTTTATAGTTAAGTTTACGCCGTAATAACCATTCAAAGTATTTTGTAGCCACAATGAAATACCGAGTACTTTTGCAATTGCAATGGTACAGTAAGCACACCCAGATTAATCATAAAAACTTTTTTCATAAAATAGAATCGATTTCAAACTTTAAAAAAAGAGATAAATAATACTCTTCTGTAAGTTATTAATTAAGTGATAGGCGCCCGACTTCAATAGAACCTTCTTGTATAAGTCGCCTTTGAGATATGTGTTACTTATCACATTTTAAAAATTTGTAGTCGGTTTTCTATTCTATTGTTTGAAAAAAATAAAACGACGCTTTTAGTGTTGATATTTTTTTATTTAAGGTCCAAATATCTATAGTGAAATTCTTAGACAAGGAAATTTTGTTTATTTGATCGACATATTTTTTCCAATAATCTATACTCATATTATAAAGAGGAATGATTTGATTGCTTGTTTGTTTGCAGTGGATAGGCTCCGAAACTATTGGACCGATTTACAAGTCTTTCATTTACGCGAAGCTACATGATACGCGCGAGACATAAGCTATTATTTACACAGGCGAAATCGCGCGAAAAAATTGGTTCAAAATCAAGAAGAAATCTATGAACATACCTACTGTCATAAAAAGTATACCTTCAAACACAGAAAATCCTCCTTTGAGATTTTAAATGAATATAAAATACGCAATCTGTTGTGTTTTATCTGAAATGGGCCATGTAAATATTTAGTTGATATTTGGTGAAAAGCGTATTTTGTTTTGTTAAAAAGAGGAAAACTACTGATTCAATTTCGGTAAATTTTAAATGGGTTCATCAAGCTGTCGAACAAAAAAAAAATATTTTGAGAATCGGTCAACAATTGACGGATATATGTTACTATTTTTAATTTTAATATTTCTAACTTTATTTATGTATAAGTAATAAGTGAATGTAGACGTTATATAAGTTGATTCGACATTTCTGGCCAGTCAGAATTATTATAATAATAACATTAGAAACGCATGTATTTTGAGAAGCAGCAGCAACAGCCTATAATATACATAAAATAATAGTCTAGTTTTCAACCAATGTAATTAATTTCATTAGTAGATTTTTCTAGAAATACATATTTGTACTTTACTGAATTTGATGTGTTCGGTTGAGGAATGGGCTCTAATAATTTTTCTCGTAGAAACGGGTAAAGCGGTTGATCTCTACTTTAACGCTTGCGCCGTGCATCGCCCTGTATCCTATTGACGAATCAGTAGGCGAAGTACCGCGGAGAAGCTCATAAAACGAGGAGTGTCTGAGAAATCCGGCAGCCATGTCGGGGAATATAGGGATGGAACAATTGATACCAATTGTGAATAAATTGCAAGATGCTTTTACACAGTTGGGTGTGCATATGCAATTGGATTTACCACAAATAGCTGTGGTAGGTGGACAGTCTGCAGGAAAAAGTTCAGTTTTGGAAAATTTTGTTGGAAGGTCAGTCATACTTACTTAATATTTTGATAGGTTGTTTTAATTCCATATTCTGCTTAAGTATAAAGAAATAGTAATTATGAACATGCAAGTGATAACTTGTGATTAATGGAAAATTAGATAACATAGAAAATCCGTTGTTAGAAGAAAATACACAAACATTTTTAGATGTATTATTCGAAAGTAAAGGTCCCTGAAATATCCCAGATTCTTTAATTTAGGTATATAAGTAGGTACTTGAATTATCAGCATTTAAGTTAAATTAAATATAATAGTTATAAAAAAAAAAACACAAATTAAGAGATATAAGATTTCCCAATTTTTGTAACATTTTTTAATACTAATCTAAACCCATAGTCATTTTTTAATATTTCCTTTCCATTAGACATGATATACATTTGAGTTTTAATTTTAATAATATTTTCATTTATTGGCCTACATTTGCTGCGCATGTCACGATTTATTGATTATCCAAGAAAGAATTTGTCAATGGTATTGTTTGCTATCGCTACAAATCGCTACTACTTTTCGTACAATATATGTACTTGAACTAAAATATTTTAAAGAAAAATGTATTGTATTGCGTAGAATTATGACTTTTATTTATTGAGTGCCAAATCGAACATGCAACCAAAATAAATATCAAATAATGCATGTAACAACTATGAACGCATTCACGAATTGAATTTTTTACACCCACTTGAATTAGAGACTTGTCAAATTTGACGTTTTGATATTGATAGGCATTGAACGCGACGTAACCACCCACCACCATATTGAAAAATAAAAATTAGTTTATCAATGATGAATTGATGATGAGCAAGTGATAATAGAAATTGTGCTAAATTTAATGTGTATTTGTAAAAATGGCTGGGAATTTCGGAATGCAGCAGTTGATCCCAATTGTAAACAAATTACAAGATGCCTTTGTGCAAATGGGCGTTCACATGTCTTTGGATCTCCCACAAATTGCAGTTGTGGGTGGTCAGTCCGCTGGAAAGAGTTCAGTATTAGAAAATTTTGTAGGCAGGTGAGTGTTTTCGAAAAAAAAGCAGTAAAAGATTATTTAATTTATGCAAATTGCCACTCACTTTTAGGGAATTTATTTATTTTACATTGAATTTCTCGAGGGTATGACTAAGCTTAGGTACTTTCTTGGTTTCTGTGAAGTTTTATTCTATATCACTTGTAGATAAACTTATAGCCATAATATCGTGTATAGATGTTTTTGTTTACTCAAATAGAAACACATTTGTATACAAACCTAAGCATAAAGAATAGGTAGGTGCTGGTTGCTTTTAAAATTGAATGTTAAGAAAATCAAACCTTTTACTAATGTTGAAATATTTCGATTAATCTAATTATGTTATGTATTTCATTGTTATAATGATAAACAGCTTCTTGATAATAATGAAAGATTTTATACTAGGTATGTTACAAAGTTTAGTAGAACAATTTTTATGGTAATCACAAAAGGAGAGTAACAAAATAACATATGTAACAATTCAGGTAAAAGTTTGACTGCTACAACACACAGATATTTTACAGGCAGTTTTATCATAAACTAAGTGACATATATCAAAATTAATAATGAACATGGGTTTGCTAATATAAACAACAACAAAGGTCAGTCTCTAAAATTATCAGAATTATAGACAACATCTAGAGCCTATTTCTAAGAAATATTGATTTATTAAAGTTTTAAATTATGCTACTGACCCTTTTGACGGCTTATATTTTAGAAATATAACACTAGACATATTTGTCTCTAATTGCTTGAGTTTTCTATGTGTGTTGTGTTGTTGATTGGGCTTTGTTTATTTATTTAGCATGCCTACATAACATTTATTGGTACAGTTAATTGTAACTTAAACTAAATTAAAAATATTAGTCACAATTAGAGTTTACATTAACTTGACATGCCATTATCTTGACTAGATTTAAAATATCACAAATCAAAAATTCCTGCCCGGTCTGTACACCAAGATATTTTAAAGTACACAAAGGATTTTAATGCAGTTTTCATCAATACCTTTAATATTCAAGAGGAACATTTATATGTATAATACATGGTCATTGGTGAAGCCACTGATGTCAATTAATGATAAAATTACATTAGAATAAATTAATTACAAAATTTAAAATTAATTTTTATTTATTTTATTATTTATATATATAAATATATAATTAAATCATTAAATAATACAATAATTTGTTAAATTAGGATTCATAATTGATTAATTAGCAATTGGCAATGTGAATTTCTTTTTTTTTTACTATACAAGTATCCTGTTGAGTATCTAGTTTGTTTTAGATAATATTGTTGAAACTAATATTTCTTCCATTTTATCACAGAAATAAATTTTGTGAGTGCATTTAACAATACTTATAGTATCAGTAAAATAATTATAAATTTTCTTTATTTTTAAGCATCAAAAATGATCATTCATGAATTCTGCAATTGTATAATATGATTATTATTAGCATTTCTTTAAGTTTTTTCACAGAAGTAGTGCATATTTCTATTAATTTTATTGTGAGTTATTATATATTTTTTATAATCTGTAATCAGGGCTTGATTTAAATATACTTAAATTTGGCAGTAACCATAACCTATCTATATGTTGTCAGTTTAGATTATGTACATCTACAAATAAATGTATATTTTTCCTAGTGAACTTTGCAACCACCAATGTGTATGCAGATGGCAATTTTAATATGCAGTTATTGATAAAAATGTGCATTACAGCTTTGCCTTTGTTTTATATTTATTAGGATACATGGCATTTTTTCATAATTATGAACAGATCACCTGCTTCAGGTCCCCCCCATAGCATCATGCCATAGCAGAGTCAAGAGTAAACATATGCATAAAATGCAGACAGTGCTGATTTATAATCAGTATTTCTTTTTAAAATATTAAGTGCATAGATAATTTGTGTTAATTTGGCCAAAATTTTCTAAATACTAGCTTTCCAATTTAGATTTGAATCAACGGTAATTCCCAGTAATTTAACTTAATCGACTTCTAAAAGTGTAATGTTAGGGCTTGTATTTGGACATATTTTTTGGATGGATCATAATTTGAATGATTTACCAAGTACAACTATTTTACATCTAGTCTGAATCAAATGAATTTTTAGTTTTATATTATTTCCATTATCTACAGTGATACTGTTGTGAATATTTTTAAAATGGCATAAACTTCACTAATCCTAGGTACCCCTAGATGAGATTTTAACACATTACCTTTCTCAGATTGGGCAACTGTTCTAACCATTGAGCTACCTAAGAACCAAAAGGACTGATGAATTTATCAAGCATTTTTTACTTTCGATAATAGTGATTTAGCAGCAACTAAAAAATATTTATTAATATAGCATTGTTAATGTAAAATTTACAAAAAACAGCCATTTTTGCTTTTTAATTTCTGCCCTGCTCACCTTGATTGGGTGATGGCTGAAAATCGGAGCTTCACCCCTTCCTGGGTGATTAAGATGCACCGATTGTTGACCCTTTTCTAACTGCTACACAGAGGTACATCATAATTAATAATTTATATGATTTAAATTGTTTGCGTGATTCAAAACTTTGTTTATGTAATTGTGTTTAGTCCTATTAATATTATAAAGGCGAAAGTTTGTAAGTATGGATGTATGGATGTTTGTTACTCTTTCACGAAAAAACTACTGGACGGATTTGGATAAAACTTTACAGCAATATAGGTTATACATCAGAATAACACATAGGGTACTTTTTACTGGGAAAACTTCTCACTCCCACGGGATACCGACTTCCACGCGGACGAAGTCGCGGGCGTCCACTAGTTATTAATAATACCACCATAATAGTAGTTACTAACTGTTTATTGAAATATACATGCAGGATAAAGATTTGACAGTCTTGTTAAGGTCTATGATGACTCATTCGGAGTAGGATAGTCCTTATACTAACCAGGAGTGCTAAATAAAGTAACTTATTTCTGAAATTACTTTTATCAGAATTTTCTTATCACACCACAGGAACTAACAGTTGTGCGTATTTACATTTCCTCTTGCTATTTAATTTTATTAATCACCCAATTACTGCTTTCGTGTTTTGATTTTGTTTCATTAATGTTAGTTTCTATTATTTTTAGCAAGTACAAAAATCACTAAGAGATTAATTATGAATATTTGTTCCAAATGATTTGCTGGTTTACATCAACGCTTGGAAATATACTCACTAGCATCAAAAGAAACAACATAGTTTGCTGATTGTGCTAGATGACCTGTATTGGTTATAGTGTGTAGTAGTACATAATACTACTTTTACATGTTTTCTCAATAAATAAATATTAAGTTCAACTATTACTAGTAATATAATATTTGATCTAACTACCTGTTTTACCGAGTCCACTTAGTAATTGGTGAGGTCTAGATGACACTATGTTATTGGGAACCATATTTACAAACAAAAGGACCTAAATTTGTTCATACAATTTTGCGTAATTCTTCAAGCACCTTTTCTCTCGTCTCGCAAAAATAGAATCTTCCTCTGTTGTGTTAAAGTCGAAAATTGTGAAATGGCGAAAACGATTAGGTGAGCATGATGCATACAGGCAAATATCCTATTAATATTATAAAGGCGAAAGTTTGTAAGTATGGATGTATGGATGTTTGTTACTCTTTCACGAAAAAACTACTGGACGGATTTGGATAAAACTTTACAGCAATATAGGTTATACATCAGAATAACACATAGGGTACTTTTTACTGGGAAAACTTCTCACTCCCACGGGATACCGACTTCCACGCGGACGAAGTCGCGGGCGTCCACTATCTCATATAAATACCCCTAATCGGTGGATCAAGTATTTAGAAAATCGCCTCCATATCGCAGAACCCTGCAGGACAGTGACATGGAATGTTAAGGACAAGAGATGTGTTAATCTGCAACCTAATTCTCCTGAGATGGAGGGCTCCATCTTAGCTGCCCTCTGGCCTGTCTGTCTGGCCCACTGTGTTATTAAGCTGTGATATTATGTATACATAAGAATTTCGATTTTATTTCAAAGTAAATAATTTTTTTTTTCGTTTTTACTGTGCTCTTGTAATTGAACTCTTGAAATTAAAACGATTTTCTGTATGCTATGAATCATTTCGTGAAGGAGTCATTACAGATAGGTAATTGGGCTGACATCAACTAGCTTATATGTTCAAGGTTTGATGATGACCATGCAGTCACTTCAGATAAGTAATATTTGTATAAAAACAGTTTATACATACAAACCACCATATAATAAAAAAAAAATCTCAATTGTTTACACGCATGTTTTTCTTATAAAAAAATTGTGTCTGCATGTGGTCGTAACATGAAGTACCATTAAGTTAACAAGCTATCCTACAATTTGGAAAAAATATATAAACTGCGTTGGTTCTTTTAGGGAAGTAACAAATAGGTATACCTACACGACTTTTACACAATCCAGGCGACTGCTTTAACCAAATCGCGTTACAATTCGCTTTAAGATAAATGCCAATATGGCATCGTGAACATAAAATTGATCGAATATAATATTTATGATTACTAATAGCCGTATTGTTTTTCCAGAGACTTTTTGCCTCGTGGATCTGGTATCGTCACTCGGCGTCCTTTGATTCTACAGCTCATAAATGGAAATGCAGGTAAGATGCAGTTTATCAAGTATCTATATATGTATTAGTTAAAATATTTGTTTCCTATTAGTTAGATTATTGCAACGAAATAGTAATTGTATTACTGGTTTTCATCGTCTTCTATTAAATGCAAATAAATTGTCAGCTTATGGTTTATAAAACTTTACTGTTCAAAAGTTGTATTTCACGGACATGGTGCTGACACCATAGAATCTAACTTTGTTCGTTTTCTTTTGAATCGCTGATCTGGAAAGATCGGCGTTGATGATGTTCACCAAATAGTTGATAAATATACCAATAAATTACTATAGTCACAAGGTAGTACTAATTAGATTTAATTCAATAATAACTTATTGTTACGTAACTATACTGTCCGAATTACTTTTAATCTGTTCTGAGCAGTTATGAATAGGAGCAATAACTTAAAGATAAACCACATTTTTTTACTGTTTTAATATACTTTTTGGTCTTCAACATTAATATGTCTAGTGTGGTAATTAAATTAAGACTTGATTAATATATTTAAAGAACGGATCATCAGACGGAGTACGGTAGTGGTTGCTCAAAATTTAAGCAGGCCTTGCCATACCTTTGTTAAAAGTTGCAAGATATTGGCGCCTTGCTAAGTTTTAATGATGCTCATTTCTATATTTATAATAAAGTATTTATTGATAGTGAAAAACAGAATTTTATACCAATAAGCTCTAGTGTTAGAGAAATAAGACTATAATTGTCATTTCGAAGACTTAATTCAACATGACGAGTTTTGTCGCTTCGTTTTGTACAAATTGTCTGCTATTAACCTTCAGCGCCGGCTGAATGTCAAAAAAACTCATTAGCTCTCACTACAACACATAGACTGTACTTTTTACGTAAGCTTCATCGATGTAGTAGCAAAATTTTAAAAAGTTATGCGTTATAATAAAGTTTAAAGAAACGGAAAAATATCAGAAGCATTTATTATTTCAATTCGTAATCAATTTCATGCGGTCACGAATGTGCAGGTCGCTCGCCTTCCGCTCTGTATAGTGAATAATTTTTTTTATCTATGACGATAACAAATAATCTTTTGTTGTAATTGGGTAACGAGATTTGTGAAATCTGATATACTTTCAGAAAGAAAATTGACAGTAGTTCCTTTTATCTTGTTATGTTTATGAAAAGCACATTTGGAAAATGAAACCTATTATTACCTGTTATATAATACAAACCCAAATACTTTCAAAAAAGTGTTTTAAATTAATCAATAAATATTATATCTTTAATTTTAAACGTAATTTAAAAGTTGTGACATAGGGGCATGTAAGTGTATCTTGATGTATCTACGGTCTAAAGAAGCGACATTATTGTATAAATCTGTACAATCGGCTATTAGAAATAGACTAGTTTTGTAATTATACCTAATTTTTCACCTGTGACCTATATATCTACGGACAAAACCCCCAAAATGTTAAATATAGAATAAAAAAATAATAATTTTAGATGCTTTCTATTCCGGAATTTTAAATTATTGTCACATTGCTTAATAAAATTTATTTAAGAATGTCTTTTCGAGTTGTGATTTCATAAAAAAAACATGTGTTTTTAAAATAATTTTTAAAATTGTAAATGTAACAGTATTTTTTATTTACTACTAATAGCGATAGTTTTCTAAACCATTAATAGTAGTAATTTTTAAATCAATAATTCAGAAGCAGACCGTCTGCTTGGACACGTATGTATTTATTGGAATAAACACAAAGCATAATCCCTAGTGTTATTATCGAACCCTGACCTTTACCAACTGAAATCTTAAAATTTGGCGTCCAACGTGGAGACGTGGTTTGAATTGGAAACGGTCTTAGAAGATTATCTATAATTTTTTTATGAAATTTTCCGAATTCTAGAATTTAAGATAAATGTACAATACAGTACAGTCGAAACAAGGCAGTTTATATATTTTTGTTATGCCAATAAATCTTGTTTCTAATACTGATCAAAAACCTATATTAGACCAACAATCTTTACCGCAGAAATTGTAAAAAACTAAAAGCTTCCATCCTGTATCTATCGTTTACGTCAAATCCTAAAATTTATGCACAAACAGCCAAATTTTGTGGTCTTATTGTAGAATATTAATATACAAAAAAATTGTGGCGATGTGCTAAAACAGCCATAATTCCAAGCTTTAACGCTATTTCATTTTTGTTAGAATATGCGGAATTTCTTCACTGCAAGGGCAAAAAATTCGTCGACTTCAACGAAGTGCGATCTGAGATCGAAGCGGAGACGGACCGCATCACGGGCTCCAACAAGGGTATATCGCCAGTACCCATTAATTTGCGCGTCTATTCTCCTAATGGTGAGTTGTTAATGAATCCTGTTTTGAACGAACTAATTGTAATTTGTACACTGTATAGTAGCCACTGTTGTATTGTGTATTGTGGAGTAAATGTGAGATAATTTTATTGTTTCATATTTATTTATCGAGTGTCGTATCACTCACGTATTCATTTTTATAACGCTAGACAACATAAATGGTGTTGATCCCAAGCGTGTGTTATTTATGAAACAAGGAAATAATGAACGTCCTACAACCACACACAAAGAAAAGGGACAATGTAGTAATTCATGGTTTAACCCAGTCGGATACGAACCAGGGACCTAGAGCTTAACTATGAGCTCTTATAGCGAATGGGACACCGCTATTGTTGCGTATAGCGCTGTCCCGCTCCCTGCACGGATGAAACATTTCTGTAAGAAGTGATGGTAACCTCCCATAATTATAGCGATACCATAAAAACGTTTTGCAAGTTACTCGACTTAATCCATGGTACACTATTACGTATGAAATGAGTCGGTATGACTAATAATAAGTAAAAGAAATATTTTAGATAAGATGATAAAAAGATATGTTTAGTATAAATAGGTTAAACTTTGCCGATATGGCAATTACGTTTTATTTTAATTGCTAATTTAATAGCTCATTATTCTTTTAAGTTTTAGATAAGAAAAATATAATCTCTACCATGTGTGGCGGAATTTGTTTATCATAACTATTTACAAACAATCAAAATTCAATAGAAACTTTTGTGTGTCTTGTATGAGCTTGAACACAAGATAGTCTACACTTTTATTTTATTTTATTTTATTTTAATTATACGATAATTTTATTTTGAGGTGACCATGATAACTAATGTTTTCGAATAATTATCAATGTCGCCGCTAAAAATAGTATGAAGTCTCAATCAAGTATTATGAATGATTTGGTAATAAATAATTGTTTCTCCTTAGTTTTAGATTATGAGAAAAACAATTAAATTTTCATGGTTCTCTTCCGTTCTGTGTATTATTATTATGTAAATATACCACAAAAATGAAGTGAATGAATATATTAGAATCTTTAATACTATTAACATAACGCAAATAAAATCATTCTAGACGAGGATAAAGGTTTATGTAATATATTTATACTACAGATCCTCGATCACACGATGATTGGTTTAAAAATAGTGTAATTTATAATTAATGTTAATTTGAATCATGACTGTTGTTGGTTTATTTATATCGAAAAAATAATTATGTCATCTTAATTGTATTTGATTGTGTCACTATCATAGAAGATAATCCTCTATTGCTTCTATTTTTTTAAATTAGTGATATTATGATTTATATTGTAATAATAGCTTTAAAACTTAATAGTTTTTACTTGTTGATTTTCCCCAGTCCTTAACTTGACACTGATCGACTTGCCGGGATTGACGAAGGTGCCTATAGGTGACCAGCCTATTGACATAGAACAACAGATCAAGGCCATGATCTTCCAGTTCATTCGCCGCGAGTCGTGCCTCATTCTTGCGGTGACGCCCGCCAATACAGATCTGGCTAACAGCGATGCCTTAAAACTTGCCAAAGAAGTAGACCCTCAAGGTAAATTTCAACTAAGGGCAATATTATTTAAATTCAATTATTTGTATATATATATATACAAATATATTGTGTCTATTGTTAGCATTAATAACTCTTGATTTTTGTTTCTGCAACACATTTAGTATTTATTTTATCTTTACACATAAAATCTTAAAGCATTTGGTCTGGATCATTTAAAAACTCTAGTAACTATTTGTTTTAATAAGACGCTTCACATCTATGAATATGACATTCCTATAAAGCAATTTAATCAATATAATTGGCAATCTATTACGCACCTTACATGATTCTTAAATGGTAAAACTACCTACTCGAGGAAGCAATTACTTAGCCAAAAGAAGGACAAGTTGATGATTGTCCGATACATTTATGAGCACGATAAAATTGTAAATTACTGAGACTGCTAGCTTAAAATATTAATGTTGTCCCGGGCACAGAATTAACAGGGATTGTGGATCGAGATCTTTATTTCCTCACAAGAATAAAGGAAAAATATATAAAAAAAAATATGTATTTATTGGAACAAACAGTTTAACAAAAGTATAGTGTACGATAATAGTCGCAGTAGTTAAAAAAGAAAACTGAAGTGCAGCCATTAGCGCCCACCTCCAGGTAGCAAATAATGATATGTTCCTTATTCTACTATATTATTATCATTAAGGAAGTTACATCTTTTATTTTACACTTACTGCAACAGGCCTTAGCTGTAATAAATGTTTGTTATTGATTATATTGACTCATTTTTGTGGTACTACTGTACGTTTTTTATCTTTATGCATTAGGTCTGCGAACAATCGGCGTAATAACCAAATTGGATCTGATGGACGAAGGTACAGATGCCCGCGATGTATTAGAAAACAAATTGCTGCCTCTGAGGCGTGGCTATATCGGTGTGGTGAATCGCTCGCAGAAGGACATCGATGGAAGGAAGGACATCTCTGCTGCGCTCGCTGCTGAGCGGAAGTTCTTCCTCAGGTACGTCCAATTAAAACATAATAATCATTTGCAACATGCAAGTATTCATAATTGGATATCTATGTATTGGATGTGTAGATTTAAATCTTTTCAGTATTGTCTCTGGTTTTGATAATGTTATTGTTTCTCATAATCTATATCATATTATCTGTTACACTTGCGATATTTATCTTTAGGATAGGTTCTAAAAGAATTATTTATATTAAATTTTTTCTAAATATTTGAACATGTATGCGAAGCAAAGTGTTATATTTATTGTTAATCACAGTATGGTACGCTTATGCCTACATACTTATCTTTGCTTCCATCTTTAAGCTATTAACTTTTATATTACAATAGATACTAGTGTGACAGAAAGAAAGAGCGTTAATTGTTTTTTTTTATTTACTTAATTTTGAAAAAACTTATTTTACATAACATTTTAATTACATTTTGATATACATACAAGTTATTTTTTTTTGTTTGCAGCCATCCTTCATACAGACACATAGCCGATCGCCTCGGGACCCCATACCTGCAGAGGGTTTTGAACCAGCAACTTACGAACCACATCCGCGATACGTTGCCGGGACTTCGGGACAAGTTGCAAAAGCAACTGTTGGCGCTAGAAAAAGATGTAGATCAGTATAAGCACTTTAGGCCTGACGATCCATCGATCAAGACTAAGGCTATGCTTCAGTAAGTGTCGGATGCAATGACCAATCCTTTTTATGTTTTTATTTATGTATAATATATAACGTTTCTGTATGTGAGTAAATCCTTGGACTTCTAAATGATTGGATTGGTTTAGTTGATGGTTTGTGCAACTCTCGTATCATGTTTCTGCATCCAAATTTCAATTGAAGTCTTAAATGATATATAAGGATGACAGAGCTTCATTTTGACAGAGCCACTAAGACTTCAGATACACGGTAGAACCAACATCTGCGGTCTTACTACTATAAATAATATGTTATAAATTTTTTTGAGTAGTTGTTAAAAAGAATTCGGAGGTTATATTATAACAATGATTCTATTATCTAAGAAAATTTAAGAAACTTTATGCATTAGTTGTATCATATGTGAAGTTCTATATTTACCATACATCTGGCTGTGTAACTTCACTTTATGAAGTATTTTTACACTATTGCTTAGTCAAAGTCAAAATAATTATTGTTCAAATAAACTTATTAAAAACACTTTTAATCCAACATTTTTACTTGCCATCCGATCAGGATGTATTTGGACTGATAAGGAGAAATAATAAAAAAAATAAACTCGCCAACTCTAATAGTTACATATAGATCTTAACCAGTTTCGACAGAGTTCAAAATTCATTATTTATTTAAATGAAATGTCTCCGAAGTTTAGTTTATTTAGTTTTGTATAAGATTATTTTCTCTTCCAGAATGATCCAACAGTTGCAGACAGACTTTGAACGCACAATCGAGGGTTCAGGCTCCGCTCAAATTAATACCAACGAATTGTCTGGTGGTGCTAAGATAAACAGACTGTTTCACGAACGTTTCCCGTTTGAGATTGTCAAGATGGAGTTCGATGAGAAGGAATTGCGGAGAGAGATCGCTTTCGCCATTCGAAACATTCACGGTATTAGGGTATGAATAATTTTATTAATATTCATAGATACTATGAATTTCACCATTGATTTACACAATGTAATAAACCCGTATTGGGAATACAATAGTTTTATTAATTTAAAGTAATTGTTCAATGAGTTTTCAATTATATTTTTCAGTATACGTCAGTGTGTTCATTTAATGATTTATAATTATTTGATTGTGAACAAATACCGATATTTATAGTTTTGTAACGTTATATTGTTATGTTAAACATTTATTTACAAAATATTTTCTATAAAATATGATCTCTCTTTGCTTTGTTTATTTTTGTTTTCTTCCAATCGAAGTTTACAAACATATACATCTGAATAATGAAAATATTTGTATGTCTGTATTAACGTTTACCTGATAAAATGGAATAAAAATAAATTATTTAATTATATTGTAGGTTGGTCTGTTCACTCCCGACATGGCCTTCGAAGCTATAGTAAAAAAGCAAATTGCTCGGCTAAAGGAACCTTGCATCAAATGCGTCGACCTGGTGGTCCAAGAGCTGTCTAATGTAGTTCGTTTCTGTACCGAAAGAGTGAGTATACAACAGGATAATTTTATTCTGAAGAATATTGATGTTCTTATTTATATCGTTTATAATGGGATTGTTTCTTCTATTATATTACGTACGTCAATAGAATGTTTATATATCTTACTATCCTTAGCGTTGTAATTTATAAAAATGTAATTAATGGTCAATCAAAATTTTAAATTGATAAATTTTCTTGTACGTACCTTTTGTAATTTAATACATGATTTTATTTTTGTACTCAGATGTCTCGATATCCGAGGTTGCGTGAAGAGACGGAACGCATAATAATGTCCCACGTGCGGTCTCGTGAGCAGCAGTGTAAAGATCAACTGCTGCTACTCATAGACTGCGAACTCGCTTATATGAACACTAATCATGAGGACTTTATTGGGTTTGCCAAGTAAGTGTTGTTGAGTATGTTTAAACCAAAAGAAACAGTTAGTTCATTCTGTAAATATTAAATCAAAGGGAGCGTTCAGTTTTCTTGCCGGAGTTAGTTTCGTAAGTTCTTCTCAGATAGAACTCCCAAATTTGGGACTGGTAGTAGGTTACAGTAGCCAGGGGTAAATAAATAATTTAAATGTATTATTAAAATAATTCAATAAATGTAAACATTGCCGTATAATATTTTATATTTTTGAAGGTCTTAATTAAAAACACAACATTTGTGAACACGGAATCTGTACGAAACGTCAATAAAACTAAATACAAATGAAACCATTTAAAAGTTGATTCATTTATGGATAGTGCATGTGAAAATATAAGAAATAATTATATATTGAAACCAAATATAGAGTTGGCCGCCGACTATTATCAGGCTGATAGTAAGCCTAATCATGTTGTGAATACGTTATAGCGTACATTGCGCAAATAGTATTTATGTACATGGATGACGAACAAAAATAGCAAATTTTAACTAAAAATACATACCCAAATACATGTCCTCGCATATAGAAGTAAAAAATACCACTTATAATTACAATAATATTGTACATATAACTAGTATAAACAGTCGGTATATGTTGTAAGAGCTAAACATTCGCGTCTTTCAAACCCACGTATTCGACGCTATTGACTTTAAGCATAAAAGTATTTTTTGTATCTTTGGTATTTTTTTGTAATGTCGAGTTTAAGTATAAAAGCATTTTTTTTATAAAATAATCTAAAGTGATGATGATGATCAATTGGCTACTTGACTGTTTTAGAAACAAAGTTTTAAAACTTTTCTATGATCATATTAAATAATCAGATTTATTTTTCTCCAAAATTTTTTTTTAAATAACATATTTTTTTTCGTTAATTTAAATTGTCCCACTAAAACAATCAGTCACGTGACATTTCGAGCTGTGAAGTTTCGATTATTGAAATGTGACATCACACGATGCTTCGTCATGGCTGTCCGCGTTTCGGATCTCGTAATCCACAGATTATAAATCGCAAAAATACATTAAAATATGCTTACAATCTGCGAATAATGATTAATTTCTGTCGTCCGTGTATGATGATAATTTTCCAACACTCATTTCAGTGCACAGAATCAATCGGAAAATGCCAACAAATCTGGTCATCGCGCTCTCGGTAATCAAGTAATTAGAAAAGGCTACATGTGCATACATAATTTGGGAATTATGAAAGGTAATAAATATACTTATCATTCGTATTGTGGAAGTAGCAGTCGAATGGTGAATTAAAATGATTATTTATTTGTTTAACGTCCAGGTGGTTCCCGCGATTACTGGTTTGTCTTAACGTCGGAAAGTATCTCGTGGTACAAGGACGAAGAAGAGCGAGAAAAGAAATACATGTTGCCACTGGATGGACTTAAGTTGCGTGATCTTGAGCAAGGTTTCATGTCACGCCGACATATGTTTGCACTTTTCAATCCAGAGGGCAGGAACGTTTATAAGGTGATTTAAAGTACATTATTTATCATGATTTTCTCAAATTGCTTTGAAAAACTGCAGTCTCAAAAAATTTTACCACCGTTATTAAAATATAAAATCACTTTTTTTAGTGTCTAGATTGTTACAGCACGGGTAGCATGACGAACTCGAGAACGTTTTGTCTACACTCAAATGTCACTTTTCTCAGGTGCGCTCATACAATATCTCACTCTCGACCCGAGAAAGTGACATTTGGGTGTAGACAAAGCGTTTCTCGAGTTTGTCATGCTACACGTGCTGGACATGTTATTGTGTGTACACAACATGTTGGTAAACATATCAAATGAAATAGTGGCGGATGTTTTTCAAAGTTTTTTTCCATGTTGTGAATATTTATTTAAAGTTTTTTTTTCTTTACAGGACTACAAACAGCTAGAGTTGTCGTGTGAAACACAAGACGACGTCGACTCTTGGAAGGCATCGTTCCTCCGTGCCGGCGTTTACCCCGAGAAGACTTCAGAGGCTGCAAATGGAGAGGAGGTATATAAAAAACTGACTATTGTGCCTTTAATGCCTGTTTTATTTTCTCTTCTCTTATCACTACCCCTTTGATTATTTCCTTCTTAACAATTTCCCTTTCTTAGCTTATTTAAGCCGATATTGTTGCTTTATAATTACATTATTTTTATATAACGTGTATTGAAATTTATTTCTGATTTGTTAATATCATATACCTAATGATACAGTGTATATGTCAGTGTTGTCATACGATCTGTTGTTTTGCCATGCTAATCAGAGTGAAGGATCAGAGGTTTGTCTATATAGGATTAATAACAATATACACATACACAAACATGGAATATACACATACACTACCACTGTCTTGTTGGTTTCTCATATTGATGTTCATTAACAGTGAATTTCAAGAATGCAAGGTTTGCCCCTTTTTGTTTATTTTATTATTCTTTATGATATCTATACATATCAATTATTTTAAAATATTATATTCTTGACGAATGTTAATTAATTTTCTTGAAATGCATTTATAAATGTAGCATGTGCCATGCTTTACACAATATTAGTGCTATCACTTGCATTGCTTTGCTATGGTTATAGGCTTTAATTTTCATAATAAAATTTACAACGTCATTAGATGTTCCATTAAGTGAGTTAACATGTGAAACATGATTCATATAAAAGCTAGAAAGTCATTTGTTTTAATATGTTTTTATTTTATCGTGAAACATGATTTCTTTTTATTGTTCCTCTTTCTTTTTTTCAGTTGTGTTTTAGCATGTTTGTTTTTATTTTTAGTTATTACTGCCTGTCCTGGGGTTGGGTGGCAATAAAAAAGGAGTAAGTCACTCGTACCTTAAAAGCTTTGTTTTTTGCTGACTATTGGAGGTGGAAAATATTGTTAAAAGGTTGTGTTGTATTCGGCGTGCTGATGACACACGTAGAAATGCATGTCGTTTATCTTAGACATATGAGTAAAACGATCGTGTCTTGTTTTTGCAGTTTTTTTATATTGATTCAGGGAAAGCATGTTTCTTTGAATTTGGTATAGGTTTGGGAGTTGGGTGAGTATTATAACGTAGCATTTAATGGAATAAGGTGTGATGTATGTAATAAAATTTTATTTGCTTATGAGTTAATTACAGGGCGCATGGTTGATACAAAAGCTGATAAAAAGAAAGCTTAATTTTATTGAATTTCTTGAGTCTCTATATTGTTTTGGTTAGTGATAAACGACATTATTCTTTGTTATAAATTACAGAGGAATAAAAAATCTTTGCGATAATATGACAGTACATTGTAATTTTTTATCTAGTACAATAATGATATAACAATATAAATTTCTCAGTCGCGTCTGTCTGTTGAAACATTTGAAAAACCGAATGCTTCATAATGCTGCTTTCATCAATGAATTGAGTGACTTCTCAAGAAGGGTTTAGGTCGAAAATTCATTAAAGTTCTGTGTAAATTAGTTTAAGTATGACACTGGTTGTTGAAATATCGGGAAAACGCATCTACAGTGTCCATACTTGTACGAAGTAGCAGTACTACTGAAATATTATCGATATATGCGTGAAAATGGTGTGCTCCTGCTAATTTTAATATGTATTTATTGTTTTTAGAGAAATAGCTTGCTTTAGTAATGATTTTAAACAATAACCTCTTATGAAATTTGGCACTGAACAGCATGTTGAGTTCTAGCGTTTTTATTGACATGTGTTATTTCATTAAATTTTGAAGATTACCACTGATAATACAATTCCTTTTATATTACCACCAGATTTCACTATTTGAAGAGATAACTTATCAGAATATGTTCAGTGATACATTTGAATTAGCAATATTTAATTTTTTCCATTTCTCAGTGAAGTTTGGTGAGCAAATATAAGTTACTGTTTACCACAAACGAGATCCACTAAACTACCACCACGAAAGAAATTTTATATTATGAACTCGAAACTTAATACACTTCATACGAGGACTCGGTTCCTCTTCGTAAGAGGTTTATTGAAACTGTTAGTTTATCAAGTAAATATTTATACTTTAAGTATTGATTTGCTGATCTGATGACCTAAATCTATCCTCTTCATCTCTTCATTAGGGATGGAACTGCCAAAAATTATTCCATAGTGAGTGTCTACTCCACAAAATAAGCATGATCCTTGGAATTAAAACGCTCGGCGATGAAGACAAGTTCCTTTATAAGTTTTAGATATTACGATTACAATATGTAATCATCACGGCTAATTATTAACTTGATGTAATTTTAATCACTATTTCATTCTGCTTTCACTCTAAGCTGCTTCTAAGCTAAGTCTATTAATAATAACAAGAAAAAATATTGGATGTTCATAAAACTAAAACTTGGTAACTAATAGCACAGATATTAGAATACTATGCCTAGTATTCAAAATAAATTGTTTGATTTTACGAAAATGAAAAAAGATCTCACGTAGTCACACTGAACTTGAAACGCTTTACATATTGCAAAGTTTCCTTTATGTAGACGGAAATAACGAGTTATAAAATAATGTTTTTAAGCTTATAACTGTAATTTAATTTTATCGTATACAAGTCAAACTACATCACGTTATTTTCGCCTATTTAAAATTTGCATTCATCTCAACAATCGTAAACACAACAATTACATGATACAGATGGGGCCCGATAGGGATGATGCCTGCAAAAAAAGAAATTCTTTTTAATCCGTCAGTTAGATAATAGAATAATATTAAATACGCATCTTTATTGCTTCAATTTGACAAGACATGGCTTAGATCAGCGGTCGGCAACACGCGGCCCTCGAACGTCTTACTTGCGGCCCGTTCATAAGTTTTAAATATCGAAATAAATTCGTGAACAAACCGTGATCGGCCGTATAATGTGGATGCAGTTTTCGCCTCGCCAAGTGCGACCCGCCTTTAGTTTATTTTGCCACTTTGTGGCCTTTGCTTACCAAAAGGTTGCTGACCGATGGCTTAGATAATAGCCATTGGAGTTGAGGAGTGTCACAACTACGTAGAAAATGTAAAGTCATGTGACATTTCGACTCGTATCGCCGTAATTTATTAATAACGGAAAGAATAATAATAAAAAATCGTGTTTAATATTCTTCAATAATCTACCAGATGGATAAACAATAATAAGTCATCATCCCTATTATAAACATTTCAAAGTAAGGTAATGATATTATAATATTTTGATTCCAGAACTCTGACAGTGCGGGTACCAGCAGTATGGATCCACAGCTGGAGCGACAGGTGGAGACGATTCGCAACCTGGTCGACTCGTACATGCGTATCGTGACTAAGACCACGCGCGATCTTGTGCCCAAAACCATTATGATGCTAATCATAAATAACGCTAAAGATTTTATAAACGGAGAGTTGCTCGCACATTTGTACGCTTCCGGTGATCAGGTGATTATTCATTTTAATATTTTTTGTCTATACAATTATATTTGTTTTATTAATTACGGCATTACTCATATTTGGTATATATTACATAGGCTATCTGCCAGTGAAAGTCGCGTCAAAATTGGTCCAACCGTTTCAGAGATTAACTGGAACAAACAGACGGACAGACAGAAAAAAATGAATAAACTGGGATTTTTGTATATTGTATACATACATATGCATTTAGTAAAAAGCGGCTAATTTATTGTTACAAACAGACACTCCAATTTTATTTATTTGTATAGACCATTTTATTTATTTGTAGGTATATATGTATAGTTAGGAATTGACATAAACTAATCATCTGTTAGAAAAGGGCCGTGTTAAGTCCAAACAAATAGTAGCGCCATTTCCGAAATATATAGGCATATGAATATTCGTTTCTGTAACTGATCTACAAAACGCTATAATAATTACACGTGCAGTTTTACTTGTAATTGTTTGAATAAATTCCTTTCTGGCAAATTAGAGTTACTAGCATATTAAGTAAAAACTATGAAATGTAAAACTATATTACTAGTACAATTTAAAACCGTATGCGAATATTTGACAAATAGTTGTAGTGACCGAAAATGGAGACAAAATTACAGAATCGGTTCTCGTATCAACAGTGAACGATCGACAACCCTAACCTATATAATTTCTGAGTTGGGTTGTGTTGAGATCACGCATCATTTTGTTATGTTTTTGTTGGTTTCGATTGTTATTGTTAAGTTTTGTTTTTACTTGTTATGGTTAACTAAAATAGCAACTGCAAACGTATTATAATTATAAACGTCTCTGTAACTTCACTATTACTTTTAGTTTTGTTTTAAAAAATGACCTTTTCGTTTGTTATCGCTTTATTACAAACCTATACCTTTATTACTTTTATAAAGTAAATGTATTTTTTTCATATTTTTTCCTTAAACCCATATTTACATATAAATTGATTATTTTCCAAAAAATCATGCAATAAATTAACAAACTAAAAGTTATTAAATATTAAAACAATATTTTGGGGACTATTCATAATTATTTCAATAATATACATTTTGTGCTATCTATACTTTCTATTGTCATTTGACGTAACGTGGGAGTTATTTAGACAAGCTTCTATACGTTTTTTGCAGTCGCAAATGATGGAGGAATCACCGGAGGAGGCGCAGAAGCGCGAGGAGATGTTGCGCATGTATCACGCGTGCAAGGAGGCGCTTCATATTATCGGCGATGTGTCTATGGCGACAGTGAGCACACCCGTGCCACCGCCGGTCAAGAACGACTGGCTCGAGAGCAGGCTCGACTCGAACCCGAGACTGTCGCCGCCATCGCCCGGCGGACCGAGGCGAGCGGCGCCCGCGCAACAGGGTAAGTGCATCGTATAATGCAACCCATGAAATTATACAAACCAGTCGTTATTGACAATAATCCGGGTAATTATAATGTCACTATTGAAATTATTATATCACGTCTTTGACAAATTTCCTGCGATATTTACATTTTTATGGGGACGTACGATAATCATGTGATCATGACCAACGGGCCTACCAAGTAGCTACACTTGAGAGAGTTAAGTTTATTTGGACGTTCACTTATGCCTGTTTTCACTAAACTTATGAGTCGCCCAAATCTGACAGTTTAATATTTGGGCGTTGCCAAAGGTGAAAATATGTTTTACCAATGACAAGGAGCCACCTAACGACTTTAAGCAATGCATAGAGTTAGGATATGCATTGTGCGGCGCCTTACGCGTAATGTGACATAAATTTACTCTTTAGCTATAACAGATTTGTCAAGGGATAAAATCAATTTAGTAAGTTAGAATCAAAGAGTTTATAAATAAGAATTAAGATATAAACAATGAGATTTTTGAAATTTTCGGGCTTTTTTTTATAAATGGACGATGAAGACTTTTGGGTTTGTGTAAATAATAAGACCATGTATATTGTTTCTTGTTTTATTACCTCAAAATATAGTTTCTTGTTATTGTCTTTACGTGTAAAGGCCACTAACGTGACATTGGCGGAATTGTATAAACGCAAATATGCCATACATTAAAAAAAGAAAAGAAACTGAAGCATGCAAAATCATAGACAAACGTTGCATAACTAAGCAAGTGCTTAGTAAGATATTACCTAACGTTTACAGGTTTGGTGAAATGACAAATCTGTTTAAGCTATTCTTAATATTAAGTGATTTCTAATTAAGCTGTGCCTTGTCCTATGTTAGTGAAAACAGTCATTATTATCTTATCTTTATGAAAGATTTTTCTAATATTTACAAAAATCCAAAAAAATATTGAATATGCCTGGTAACTGAATAACGGATGACCATGTAAGTGATCTAAGTACGTGGTAGACCCGTAGTTCAGGAAAGGTTGAAATTATCAAGTCTTCGTTATTTGAAAAAGGTTTATTAACTGACTTATTACATAACATGTGCACACTCAATCCAAGACGTTCTCGCTTAAAAGGATTCGTATGTAGAATCGTTATTCGTATGTAAAACAATTTATCTTGATAATATTTTTTTATTTGTAATCGCAAGCGGTCTTGATGTCATGTGACAAGTGCTTTATTATAAAAATACTTTTGAAGTTAGAGCGTAGAGAAATCGACTAGATCGTTCCACGTTTTTTTTTTATATAAAAGGGATGTGGATTGTTGAAAAATATTAAACAAAAAAAATCATTTAAATATAAACTAGAAGTTAAATAATCTAAATATACGCGATTGCTTTACATAGCTGCCCAAAAAAGGCGTGTATTGTGTTTTTAGTAACGTTTCGCTCGTTATAGGATCGTTGGGTCAGCGGGGGGCGCCACCGCCGCCTGCGGGTACAGGCCGACCGGCCCCGCCCCTGCCGTCGAGGCCGGGTGGGGCCGCGCCCCCGCCCCCCGCCTCACGCCCCGCACCGGGGGCCGGTCTGCCCGCTCCGCTCATACCTACGTGAGTACCGCTACACACACATCACACAAACACTATAATACTACACACTACATACTATGCGAGCCGAATAAGAATAACACTGGCAAACAACTATCTTGATTCAACTTAAACTTCAAGGTATTAATTGACGAAATATCGTAGTATGATCTCAAACACAAATGTCATCATTGTCAATGTTGTTACAAAATTTCTAATCTTTATATGTATTCAACGAGTCATTCAGATAATATATTTTATTTACAATTATAAGTATAATTAATCCAATAATTTAATATTATATAAAGATAAATGAAAAAATTATAGCGAACTTTTTTTTTTCTAAAAGGACAGCTATGCTGTGAAGTTGGCAAGTAACCTGATATTTTTATTTATACTAGTGATCGACCAGTGGTCGAAATTCGACCATAATGAATTTCAATTAGAAGTAAGACCACAGTAAACATCACAAACTTATAATTATATGTCTATGGTAAACCGCGCGAAGCCAATATTCAAAAGAAACAAACAAACTCTATGTCAAAAGAAACAATTTGACCATAGAGTACATGTATGCTTGTAGCAAATACTTGTTTGTGTGTGTCAATTGCAATAGTAGTTGTGTAATGTTTTATTTATCGATTTAATGTACTTTATAAGTTTTATTATTGAAAAATATTAGAATATAAGTGTGCCAAATTTCATACTCTTCCGTCCTCGCAATTAACTTAAAAGGGGGTCCTAAGTTTTAGCTTCACGTATTTAATATATAGATTCTTATTCGGCTCGCATAGTGCATTATCTGATATGAAATTTAAATCACACCCAATTTGATTGGTTGGTTTCAATATCAGTGGAGAACATTAACTGTAACAGACTGCCGGACAGACAGAATCCTATAAGAATTATAATTTTAAAAGGTTAAAAATAATATTTATCTAAGAGGCGTTAACATATTTAAGAGATTTCTACACAAAACTCCCGCAGTTTTACTTTAGTGCCAGGTACTGTACACATTATTAGGTCTTTCGGCTATAAACACTGAGGACTATATAAATTTCCCTCGTTTATGTTTGTCCCAATGAGGGCTATCACTAGAGGCGCTAGTGTAGAGTGAGTTCTTCAAAATGTCAAATATCATACTTTCAGTGAGCTACGCGCGTTTGTTTTTTAAATAAACAAATTTGGTCTTATTTTGGAGTACCTGAGATTCATTAAAGCAATTATGAATAACGGATCAATGTCATTGCTTGAAAAACGTAGCCAAGAAAAAGAGGTGTAAAGAATTAAGCGGGTTGATAGAATATTTAACTTGGATGTTAGTGTTTATTAGGCACGCGATGTCTTGAATAAATTGGTTTCTTTGTGTATGATTTTAGTTCTGGAATTGAGTAAACTAACGTTGATAATACCATTGGCGAGCTATCTGGTGAGCAAAAAAATGGTAGCCCTCATTGTGCGCTACCCGCCGCCCATTCAATTTTTGTTACCGGGCTCGTGAAAGTAATGAGTTTTACTACTTATGGTGTTTTAGTTTCAATTCTACGTTTACATGTTTGAGCTCTACAATAATGTCTATCTGAAAATGTCTGAATGAGTTCATAGTTCTATGGGCATTCTGAATATAGAAGTTATTCTTAAGAACAGTTTAAGAAAAACACTGAGTTAAAACGTAATACTAATTTCCAATTTGGGCAGTGAAAATTCACTGAAAATGGAATTTTATATATACGCACGCTTGGATTTTTTAGTTTCTTTCCGTCTTATACAACCATGTCGTTGGTTAGAGCGAGAAAGATAACTATTAGTACGTGGAGCCTTTGATTATTGACCCTTAGTATTTTATGTAGGAAAATTATGATATGTTTTTTTGTGAATATTAACTAATATAAAATTAATATGCGTCCTTTCTAAGAATGAAGTGTGAGCTTCAACAGCTTTGCAAAGGCATTTGTGTGGGTGATGTAACAGCCATAATAATATGCTTATTATCATATGTTTAAGTATTATGTTTTAATTTTTATACATGGTTGAGCGAATATAACTGTAGTTTAAAAATTAGTTTGTCTTACATATTAATTAATATATTTTTTTTATTTTCAACTAACATGCTCTTTATATAAATAAATATATCTAAAAGTTTGAGCTTATGAAATGTGTCTTTATTATTTGTTTATATTAAATTACGAGATTGGAATCATAGTTTACGGGTACAATCAGTATGACAAGTGCACGAGTTGAGTGTGTGGTTGTTTTCGCAGGCGGCGCTAAGCGGCTTCGTTGCGAGCCACGTTATCTAACTAACATTAGTTATATATGAACATAAGGTACTAACTCTGATTAGTTTGTTAACTTAGTACATTGGACTTTCTTATTCTTCATAAATAATTTTAAAACACCATTAGTTTGTTTTTTAGTTATACTAATATTATAACATTAATAAACTAACAAAATAAACTTTATTTTATATATTCTTCAATATTAATTTACTCGGATAACTATTGTGATTGTAAAAATCACATGTACTAAGTTAACAACTGTGTCGTGAGACTTATTATATAAAATTATACATATGTTATATACAACATTAATTATGTACAAGATTAATACTTATGATATGTCTGATAACAAAATATTGCTTCCATAAAATTATTAAATTAATAGAAAATTTTACGATGTACCTTACTCTTAGATATAATGATGTTTATTGCTTATCAGCTCTATTGTAGGCAGCCAAAACTCTTAACGAATTACAATTATCAGAATAGATTAGTAAAGTTTTAGTTTTTTCCGAAATGTATCTGCTATGTCATATGTTTTTGGAAAATGTGATGGGTTGTGTATTCATCGAAACATAAATAGGCTGTCTGCATAGAGTTACTTTTTTGAAGATGTAGTTATTTATCCAAAAGGAATCTTTAACCAACAATACAGCGTGTTTGGTAATACCTGTATAATCCCGAATATGGCACATACGGTATGATGAATAGAACCCAGAATAATGATCACTAAGTCTGAAACCCTGCACATGACCTAGATATTTAGCTTTTGTCTTCAAAGTAAAACTGTACGCTGACAACCCTAAAAACAGCTGTTGTTCTAGGAAACGAGAGAAAGTGAGAGGTAATGAGAGAGAGAGAGAGAGCGAGTACGCCGGGACGGCACGTATAAGCTTTCAGGGTTGTAGCATATTAATTTAAAACAATTTTTTCAAATATTTGTATGAAAATCTCAATTTACGTGAAATTGTTTTTTGACATATTAATTGTGTTCTTTGTGTTAGGTTGTATGGCCATGTTTCGGGATTATACATGTATTACCAAACATCCTGTATAACGACTAATATCTAAATAACAGCCCTCGTAGTATGACAAAACTCGATAATCTCGAGAAACGGGTCGAGAATGCGATATCCCATACAATATCTCACTCTCGACCTTTTCTCGAGTCTCTCGACTTTGTCATGCTACGTGCGAAGGTTGGTCTTGTGATTACACTAACATGATTAAAGTGGGAAAATAATAATTGTTACAAATACAACGCTTGATAATGCTTAGCTCTTGTTAAAACTAGCTTCTTGGAAACATATTTTTGTCGTGATCTATTTGTAACTAAAACCTTACGGTAGTTAACATAAGTCACGTTGTAGTGAAGTGAAAGCACTGCATGTTAATATTCGTGTGTGGTTTTCAAGACTGTATTTTATTTGTTTGTGTGAATGTTCTTATGAAATTACTATCGATGACTGAGAGTAGGACAATAATTTCACGATTATGTTCTTTTTGTATTTGAAGTTACTTAAATATCTTTATAATATGAAATATAAAGTTTGTTAACCCCGTTTCCTGAGGATTCACAGTTGCCCTGTAAGAATGAGTATATTTTTCATTGCTTACTGTTTGATTATTATTTTATTTATGGCCGTTACATCACTCAGATGTGTCTTACAGAGGAGCTGTGAGAGCTCTGGTTTGTTTGACAGATTGTTTAGTCCTGTTTGTTAGAAACAGTTTGTCTTGATTTTTGTCACCAATGATCATATGCTTTGTGCGCGAATTCTGACACGTGTTTTGTTACATTATTAAAATCGACCATGGTTTGTTTAAAAAAAAAGTCTAATGTCCCAAATCGTCATTAAAATTTAAAGTTTATTTATCAAAACCAACAGGGAACATTTCCCGTTGACTTACAATCATGGGATTTGGTATAAAGCATGTCTAATAATATAAATAGAGTGAACCGAAAACAGTAAACTTGCATTTACATTTATGAAATCTTTATGTATAAAACTGTAGGTAATTGATAAACTGATCGCGACATTATTTGATCTACGCTTTCTAATTCGCTGATAGATTCGCGATTCTCTGTTTATTACCCAAATTTTACTGAAATAGTCATGTGATTGGACATTTTGTTATCCAAAAACCAAGGAGATTGGATTTGTTTTTAAACATCGCGTGTAATGCATCACTTTAAATGTAACTATGCTAGCCATATCATACATATTTGATTTTTACCTAATTGAGTGTCCATCCGTTTTACTGGAATATGGCACATTTCGATTATAAACACGTTTTTCTCTTAAAAAGCATGCGAACATCGGTGGTATAATAAGTTGTGGGATATTAGGAGGCCTGGTGGTGGAAGCGCGTCTGGCGCGGTGATGGGGGCGATGAACCAGATGCCGCCGCACATGCGGCAACAGGTGAACCAGGCGGTCGGCCAGGCGGTCACCAACGCGGCAATCAACGAACTCAGCTCCGCATTCGCCAGATTCAAGTAAACGACTAACTGCACACGCCTTGTCGACACACTAATGTCTAACGTCCTCGATTTAACGTTAAAAGTTGTCACCCTGCCAGTGTTTTACTCTGAATACTTGTGAAGTGTAAAGCATCGCTTAGGTAACGGGACACAAACCATCTGCGGTTATTATTATTATTATTTTTTAAAGTAATTTATATAAGTTAATGTGAATATTTGAACTACAGCCACCAGTTGGGTGTCTTAAACTACACAGTGTCGTATTTGTTACTGGGAAGATTCCTGATTGTACTTTTATGTCGCTTCATTCCAAGTTATGATAGTTAAACACATTCATATGGTTGCAATAGCAATGGGATATACACGTTGTATTATTATACAGTACATCACACGCTGTGTTCTCGTATCATTGTGTTGCTTTAATGTGTGCGTTAACAAATGAACAGATTTTTGTTTGTGTTTTGTAAGTGATGTATATATTTGAAATAATTGTATTGTGACAACTAAATCTTCCAACTTTTTGTTAGTAAATTTCATCAATTCCTTTTAATATAATACAGGTACAGTATAAACAATGTCAGTTGAAAATTAATTTCGATATTATTGAAACTAACAATTTAATTTTATATTTTTACTACGAATAATAGGCATACTTATATTGTATCTGTTGGTGTCCTTCTTGTGCACATTAATTACAAACACCGCTTGTGATATATAAAAGGATGTTACCGTAGTGTAATTTGTATTTTTAAATTGTACAAGATGATACGTTCTACGTACGTACGTGAACTTACATGTACTTTGTTAAGCTATTGCTTAAAAATCATTAAACAAATTGCTCAAAACAATGAGGAGCCAAAATACAGTTTTGAAAGTCACACACATCGTGTAAGTAAATAATGATAATAATGAATAAATTGTTTACAATCAAATTGTAGGAACATTTCAAATGTATAAGTATGATTACAGTATTAGTTATGATGAAACTTATAGTTTAACCTATAATGACATTGTTTTGTTGTAATAAGCATTATGCGAGTTAAATACTTATTGTAACACGAATGGGGTTACGTAATACGACAAATTTACTTTGTGTAATAAATTGTAAATGTTACATTCAGTGGCTTAACATAGGTGTACATTTGATTACGTATCTGATTCCGTTCAGAGAACGGTGCGGGCTCCTTTAAAGCGAGCGAGCGAGGCGAGCGTCGGGATCCAAACGAGCATATCAATATAATTTGTAAATGCTAGTTGTATTAATACGAGAACAGTGTTTATTTGTTAATGTTGACGCACACGACACATTCGTTGCGTAGAGTTAGCTGCGTAGTGCCAGTTGTTCACAAGTGAGTCGATGTGTAGGTGTTACATTAGCTTAGGGCCCACGGTGAATTCATAAAAATACATTCTATTTCCGTCTCCACTAGTATGATAAAAGGCAATATGCTCCTAAATAAATGCATTTACTCAATACAATGTACCCAAACTAGTTCGTTATACTGTCTTTACAATGGTATCAATGTAATCCAGTATTAGGTTAAACTTATATAATTATGAAATACGCGGTATCGATTGAAGTTTATATATTAAATTTATTGTACTTATAATGGCTGAGACCAAAGCAGTTGTCCTTTGTATTGTTGCTGTTAGCAATATATTTGGTCAATTATTAGAATGTTTTATTGATGGTGGATGCGTATAGATTCGTTTTTTAATGAACATTTTAATCTTCAAATTATTATCATCGTTTATAGAGGTTACGACTGCAACGTTCATTGTATTAGACTAGAAAAATACACATTCCATCGGTTAATTTAGTTCTCAATGTATATTTAATCATGTACCCGAAGATTTAAATGATATATTTATTTTTTAAATGAGATATTACTGATGTCACTGCGACTACAAATTAACATGCATCAATGCAGGAGTCGTTAGACGTGCAAAGGCATCAGAATACCGAGTTCCTACTCATAAGGAGGTTTACAATGTTATTCTGTCATTGATTAATGAATATTAGCCGAATATTACAGTAATTAACTCATCAAAAGTTCTCGCGCTCTCTTTCTTGTTAATAGCGTTAGTACCATCGAAAAAAGGTATAGGCAGTGATTGTTGGATTTGATATAGTTTATTAATATTGTTAATCTTATGCTGTATAAATAGAGTAATTAAATGCTATATGTGTAACATGGACGTTTGATTTATTCCAGTAGTCGCTAGATTAATTATTGGCTTTATACTAACTGTTAATCTGGATAACCTCATAATGTCTCAGGATTATTATATTAGGTAAGCTCCGTTTGATCTATAGTAATTAAATATTTCAATAAGAATACACGAGGTCAAAGTATTTATTAGAAAGGAATGAAGTTTTATATATGTGTTGTTTTGATTAGCCAGGCGAGTGGAATAGTTAAATTTAAATTGTGCTTCCATTCATAAAGTATTATCAACCATATAGTATTGATTAATTTTACTTCAAATACTTGGATCTAACGAAAGGTGAAGGCAATATCTAGAGTATGATTTAATTCTAGTATAGTTAGCATAAAAAGTACTTAAATGAAAAATTCAAGATTGAAATGTTGGTTTACTTACTAATAGCAGAAGTTTGTTTCGAAGACAATTGACAAGAGATAAAATTCTTAAAAAAGTGAGAACACTGTTTCTCTTCCATAACAGCTTTGTATTGTACACGCTGTTTGTGTTTAAATTATAATTTATTTGGAAACTTGGTTTATATTCTAATTTAAGAAAAAAAAAATTTTTTTTTTTGCTATCGCTTTATCTGGCAACTGTACAATTTATAATTGGGACCGCGAACTTAACACCTCGCATGACTACTCTTGAGTTCTTATTGGATTATTGTAATGTTCAATTGTCAAGGAAATAAATTTATTATTCAATTGTTTTAGGGAATGTTTGCATGCGTATGAAAAATAAATTGCTTATTTTTTATTAAAATTGAAATGTACGATTTAAATCGAAATAATTTTAATGCAATGCTTATACGCACCTATTGTTAGTTGTATTTTATCATTTCTTTTATATCCAAATATAGCGCTTATATAAAAAACATACTCACGCCTCAATATGAATGTAATTTTCACATGTAATTTAGAGATCATCTATTTATGTTATACTTTCTCCGTGTTATTTAGCATTTCACTGTATATTTAACACTGTTATATTTATTTGGAATGTAAAGTAATATTCTTTTTATTTTTATAGCCGGCCAGTTCCGAATGTACCTCCGAAACTACCAGAGAGACCGCAGAATGGGCGACCATTTTGAACGCGTCTGTCATCGCTGCCATCTTATGTATGTTAAGCCACATTTGTAAATATGTTCACAATTATTAATTAAAACGTAGCTTATTTAAATATGCTTAGCATTTATGCATTATGTATTTGATATGTGACGATGGCATATCACGTAATATTCGAAAAAAATAAATTATAACTCCGTTCCTGTAATTAATACTTAACACTGAAAAAATTTAGTGGCTTGAATACATTCTTATATGTTGTATGTAATTTGTAGCTTAATCAATATTTATGTAAAGATGAAATTGACATTTTTAATGACATTTCTTGTTGATTGATGTTATTTGATAAGAGGAAAATAAAATAATGGTAAAGAATTCTGTTAATTATCACCAAAATTGACAGTATTCAAAGCCAATATTAGGTATTAATTGTTACCAAACTGTGTTTAAAATTAGGTATAGTTTTGTAAAATACATCACGTATTTGTTAATTATTTTTAACACCAACGCAATAAAGGGAGTGAATTGTGCATGTACACACATGGCTATGTATGTAGCTTCTAAACGACTTGAAAGATTTTGTTACAGTTTTCTTTAAAACTGACGTATATAGCTCTAGTTGAACCTAATAATAGGAATTTCAGTTGGAGTTAAATATTTTAGAGCAGTGTTTCTCAACCTGTGGTCCGCGAGGGTTCGCTAGTCGAAGTAGAAAAATGTTTTTCAAATAAACTTATCAAAGCAGTTTTGAATCATCCTACATTTTTAGCTACCGTTGTATAACGGAGTCTATCAGGAAGAGTGGGTGTCAGCGAATTTACAACTCTATGGTTACATCAACATAATATACATAATAATTTAGATGGATTACATCAGCACCATCCTTCACAGTAACGTATTTTGTATGAATAATTTACACTTCGAAAAAGTGCCTATTATATTTGTTTTTTATTACAAAAATAGTAGGTACTTTTGTAGGTTAGATTTTTTTTATGAAGAGGATCCCTGGAAACCGTGTTTTATTCCTAAGGATCCGTGAATTATATATTTTGGGAAACACTGTCTTAGTGACAATAGGCTTTCATGACCACCAAGAGTACCTAAGAACAATCTCGACAGACAGGGCTGTCGAATAAAATCAATTCATCCGTTTGGGAGTTGTGACGTTGCTGATAGACACTTGATAGGTACTAGTGACAGGAATGTTGAAGTTAAAATAATAAAAAAAATATTAAAAAGAGCCTAAGTGCTACATTTCTTTTAGTGATTGTCGTAGATTTGTTTAATCACATCTATAGATAAATTCCTTTAACAATATTTTACTTAATAGTATGTTTTGTATATGATGTATACAATCGTAATACTTGAAACGATAATTAATACCGAATATGAAAATATTATAATCATTATTGTGACAATATCTCACGGAGTTGATCTATGTAATGAATGATGAATCCTTATTTATATTTGTAAATGTTATTTGACTTTTCTTTGCATTTTGGCGTATGTCTTTCACAAAGTGAATTGGTACGAATATTGCGATAATGTATGCTTTAGTCACTTGTTCGACTGATATTAATATTAGTATATTGGAATGCTTGTGATAGAATAGGGTGCTCACAGATATGTTATTTTCTGAGAACCGCGCCTTCGTTTATGAGATTAGCAGTTGGTATGTTATCGAGGCATTTAAATATGACTTGACGCGTGAATTTGGGCTGTAAGATGACGCAAGATGAAGGAAATTCAATACACTGGGTACAAAGATTCTTTGATTAACATTCTTATTGGATTATACGTTTTCATTCTTAGATTTGTACAATAAATCTAATTATGCTTTGTATATTGCTTTTTCCTTTTATGTGATCTAGTGGTTGGCTGTAAGTTGCGTTAATTTGTTTGAGATATTGCAATTTCTTACTGTCTAAGTAATATATATTCATTCCATCATTTTTAACATTATTGGGAGTAACGATATGTGCCCAAGGCGTATTTAAAGTAAATAAACTAATTTTATTAGTTTGTTTTTGTATTATCCGCAGATTTTAAATTCGCTGTGTATCATTGAGGGATTAGGCGGTCTGTCACCTTAAAAAGGTTATTGTTTACGCTTCAATCAGAACGGATCTTAGAAATACTTGATTTTCCTTGAAAACAGTGGTAATCCTTTTCAGTATAAATTGGAAGAGTGCAAGATTCCTCAATGATATATATGCATAAGATTTAAATTAAGTGAAAAATTTTTAATGCATCCGGTGATCACAATATGTCTTTCCGCAGTTGATTTTTAACTCTAGCATCAATGCATTTAAGTTTAAAATCAAGTAAATATAAAGTTCTGTTACTGGCTGTATTTAATATTAAAATTATTTACATCACAATAATAAAACTGTATATACCTAAATAATGATCGTCACAATGTCAGTCGTATAAGGTTGAAATAATGTACCGTATTATATCCTACCTACTTGCAAATGGTAATATTTAGAAAATGTATATTTATTTTTTATTTAATTTTGTTATACATTCCCGTATAATCTCTTGTTCACGCGTCAGGCTTTATGTGTATATATATGTAAAAAACAATATGATATGGACTTGTTTATACTTTGTGTACTGTTGTATACAATTGTAATAAATGTGTATATAACAACAAGTTGTTTTTATTCACAACTAGCTTTCCGCAGGCGGCTTCATCCGCGTGGTCCTGTACATATAAACCTTCCTCTGGAATTACATATATTAAAAGTCATTTCAAAGCTCTCAGCGTACAGACAGCGGAAAGCGGGTTTATTATACTTTGTATAGATAATTAAATTTATGGGGTCGTCCACAAATGATATTTCTGTTGTCGCTAAAAAAACTTATATTACATAAGGCTCTCATGTTTCACATGGCAAAGTAATCATAATTTCATTGATCAACTATCAACAGATCATTAAAAAAAACTAAAATTAGAAGCGAAAACTTGTTTAGGTGTCGTTTAAGATGTTATAAGTATAGTTTGAAACGTGCTTAACATAAAATTCTCAATTCAGAAACCGGGTGTAAGAGAAGTTAAAATGTATCGATCGTCATGTGAAGATTTTCTTCCGCAAGGTTTTGATGAATACATTTAAATACTTCAATTTCTTGCACCGATGACGGCACTCCGATTACCACTAATCTGGGTTTGCGTTTGTGTGGCTCGTACATAGTAAAACATATAACTAAAAAAAAATGGATAACATAAGTACAATTCCTTGGTATATTTGTTCAAGATCAAAATTATATTTGATCAAGAAGTTATTAACACTTAAGATAGATCTAGACTCATAATGGACAGCTTCATATAAAGCGTTATAATATTATTATTGCTTGCACCCTACACGGAAATTATTTTACTATAATGTTATTACATATTCTGACATCATACTTGATTTATTATTTTTACATTTTTAATATTTTCTTAATAGTTAATCTAATCTTGACAATTTCATTTAATACCCTATTTATTATCATTAATATTGTTATTACACTTACCTTGACATCCTTTTTTTGTTTTTTTAATTATTATGTACTATTAATTTATTTAATTATTTTATTAACGACTTTGACCTCGTACTTCATTTATAAACTACAATTATATTATTATATGATATTTATTATTATGAATTTGGACATTAATTTAATTTTAACATATTTATTTTATAAATTACTTTTAATGAATTACTATTTATTTAATGAATAAAATGATTGTGAAGAATAAATTTATTAAGTTAGCTCTTTACAATGCAGGATCGTTATGCACGGGCCATGATGATTTTCTTGTGGGGATGAACCGTTGAAATCCGGATATTGTAGCTATCAATGAAACATGGTTACCAGCTGGTCACGAGGCCCGCGCACCAGTGGTACCCGGTTATCGACTGAGGAACACACCCCGCCCGAAACACATGCGCGGTGGAAGGGGTGGCGGTGTTGCTTTTTATATCAAGCATGATATGCGTGTGCGCTTCTTAAAACACCCCGTAGCTGATATAGAGCAGTTGTGGTTGTCAACACAATTAAACAGCTATCGTCTACTTGTTGGTACTGCATATAGGCCGCAGTGGGTTGGGGTCGATTTGTTTTTTGATGCACTGACGGAGTCTGTAACGAGTTTCTCAAATCATGACTGTAA